GGTTCGGAAGATCTGGACCAAACCGGTAGCAACCCACAACTGTCTATATCAAATATAAATGATGTAGCAGAAATTCCTATAATGTTTAATAAATACATATATTGTTATATTTATGACTCAATCAGTTTTATTTTTGTTTTTTTAAATACCTTGCTTTGTCCTATTTCCATAATATTAAGAATGTAATTTAAGTTTATATACAGGTAGTCCTCGACATACAACCGCAATTGAGTGCAAGATTTCTGTTGTCAAGTGAAACATTAAGTGAGTTTTGCCCCATTTTGTGACCTTTCTTGGCACAGTTGTTAAGTGAATCATTGCAGTTGATAAAGTCAGTAACCTAGTTGTTAAGTGAATCCATTGACTTTGCTTGTCAGAAGGTCACAAAAGGTGATCACATGATCATGGAGATATACTGCAAAAGTCACAACTTTGAAAAATAGTCGTAAGTCACATTTTTCAGTGTTGTAACTTTGAACGGTCACTGAACAAACTTAAGTTTAGGACAATCTGTATTGGGAACATGAACATATACTGTATATAATATATGTAATTTCAGTTCTGAAAAGCAATTACTGAGTGTAGTAAAATGTACAATAGAGCATTCTCAAATTTAGAGAAAGAAAAGCTCCTCTTCTTAGAATAGCATTAAAAGGAAGTATGAACTCTGAAGCATTTTATTGACTGATGTTGAAAAAGAAGCTGACTAATCTTACCCAAGGTTATTAAAGAAGTTCTTGATGATTCTCACTTAATTTCCACTTTACTGAATGCTAAATAAGACATTCAGTAACTAAATACATAGCTAAAAAAACATCCCTGTGCATATGTTCCTGCTAATTACAGGCATGTTGCCAAGAAATCCTGATCAGAAAGAAAGAAGAAAGAAGAGGGTATATCTTTATTGGCAGAACAAGGAGATTCCAAACCGATGGCACGTAGGGGGGATGGGGACAATGAAGACTAATCTTTCTGCAGAACAATGTAGACTAATTATTATGAGGAACAACTGTATAACTCCCATTCTGACACATGCTAGTTTTTGAATTAGAATCACTCCCAGCTATGTCCCAGTAAAATTATGTGGAACTGTTGATTGTACTTGGTTTAGACATTTTTACTTGGACATTTTTCTAAATCCAGTGAGGAAAATGAGAACGCTACACTTCTTCAAGGTATTTGAGTCTGTTTTTCTCTGCAATCTAAGGTTGAATCTGATTTGAAAATGTATTTTATGTGGTTTGAAATATTAGATCCAATTTTACAATGTATTATCTTGGTATTATAATAATTCCATTTTCCTGGGTTTTTGAATGATGAAGGAAATGATATGGACCTTCATCTTAAATTAAATTTTTAAAAATTATCTACAAGTTTTAACTGCAGTATTTGAGCAGTACAAAGACCAAGGAGATTCTTTACAAATATAAGCTGATATTTTGGCATTCCCTTCTGAGCCTTGTTGCAATATGAATAACTAGAATATGGAGTGATTTATCTTCTCCAGTCTATTGAAATAAACACTTGGCTGAATTCAGTGACAGTTTTATATCTCAGTGGTAGGAAATTTGGTAGATCCAAGGGCATATGATTAATTAAACAGGAAGTGTTGGACACAGCTTTAAGCACCATTCGGACTCCAGTTGCAGCCCTAGGATTGTCTCCTTACCAATTTGTTAATCTGGTAAGAAACTTGAGTTATCCAGTGGAAAATCTCAAAAAAGCTGCTTTACAAGCATTTGATTTGCATAGACATGGCAGCCTAAGGAGGTTGGTGAGCAGTAGTTTCAATTGGTTCATTACACCTTTCCCCTCTGGCCACGGGACTCCACTTCTGCTGATCACCGGCTGCCAGCAGTTTGGCAGATTGAATCTCACCAGGCTCAAGGTTGACTCAGCTTTCCATCCTTCGAAGGTCGGTAAAATGAGTACCCAGATTGGGGGGGGGAGAGGGCAATATGCTGACTCTGTAAACCGCTTAGAGAGGGCTGTAAAGCACTATGAAGCGGTATATAAGTCTAAATGCTATTGCTATTGCTATTGTTTCTTTAAATGCTAGAGAGAAAAGCTTCATTAGGCAGCTGGGCCTTCCTTTTCTTTTACCTGTGGTTAGGAGCTAATGGTGAGTATTAATTTGTTGCCTCCTACCATGCTAGGCCTGCCTTATCTCCATGCTTGCTAGCTTCAGGTAAGGTCAGGGATTATGGTGGGAGAAGTTAAGGGATCCATGTTAGAAGCGGAGAGAGAAAGGCAAACAGTGGAAAAGAGGTAGACTCTCCTTCCTTGTTTCTGGCTTCTTCAGCTACAGCAGGCGCAAACACCATCCTGCCCTCATATTGGCCTCATCTGGAAGGCATAGAAAAAGGACTTGGGAGTGGGCAGAAATTTCTGAGTTTGGTTCTGAGTTCAGTTCTTGGGAGCAGGACAAGAAGTAATGAGTGGAAGATCCTTAAAGAGTGATCCAACCTAGAACTAAGGAGAAATTTCCTAACAGTGAGAACAATTAATCAGTGAAATGTCTTGCCTCCAGAATTTGTGTGTGACTTGGAGTTACATTGTGTTGTTTAAGTGTTCCCTTTATTTTTTTGAGCAGTGTATATTTCTGCTCTTTGATTGATTTTCTCTTTCTGTTCCACTGGGTTATATAGTTTGCACTTTTATTTCAATTCATCTTTTGCTTCTTTTGATTTGAAGTCACACAACATAATTCTTAAATCTGATGGATCCCAATTCAACTGGGTAAATCTAGTTTTGTTTTAGTTAGAGTTGCTTTGTTACTATTCTTGTCTTTTGTATCTTGGCAAGAGATGAAGACTTGAAAATTGTAATTTTGAGAACACCATTCATTTCCTTATGTTGTATTACCTTTAAAACAGGAAGTCTATAAAGCCTCGTATGGATTGGGAAATTTATGAATGCAAAGTTTGCATACAATTGGTAGATAATATATCTTTTTTCCAAATTTACGCTTAGCATATTTTCAGTGAAATAGCTGAACTGTGGCTGAGAGGTTGAATTATAAATCTCACAAAATCCCTACTCTACAAATATTTTTATGGGTATTTTTTCAATGCTGTTCAAAAAATGGTCAGAGGTATTTTATCTCAACATTTTCATTGAGCAAGATATTCTTTGTTGTTAGTAAAATCCTTATTAAACAATGTCAATTTTCACACAGATTTCTTTGTAGTATATAATTTACAATGGCTTGTGTAATTTGGCATAATGAGGAAAATCACTGAGTAAAGAAATTCACCACAGTAAACATCATTTAAGAAAGTTTATCCCCCCCAAACTGTGAAATTAGTGATTACGGACAAAATTACAGCCAAAATAAGACCTCTGTGAAGCAAGAGGGTTATCATCAGCATGCTCAGGAAAAACCTGACAATGCACTAAAACTTTTTTTCAACTTCATATTTAAGCTAAATTCTTCTAATAAGCATTATTTGTGGGATTGCTTAGGACAAAGATAAATAGAGGTTAAAACAATTCATTTTCTTCTGAACTTAAATATTTAGGTTGGGTTAAAAGTCCTGACATACTTTGGCATGAAGAGTATCTTCTGAGGATTACTGTATTTTGAAAACATGTTAGTGTTGTGTCAAATATGTGTTATTAGTATATACTGTTTTTTATTCCTTTTGCCATAGCTCATTTTTTGCTTTCTTTTTCTTGAGTTGCTGTTAATATCATGAGGGATTATTCACAATATTGAACCTCTTAAATGTTATACTACGGCAGTGGTGGGTTTCAAAATTTTTTACTACCGGTCTGTGGGTGTGGCTTGGTGGGCCTGGTTTGGTGGACCTGGCAGGGGAAGGATACCGTAAAATCTCCATTCCTTCCCCAATCCAGGGGAAGGTTACTGCAAAATCCCCATTTCCTTCCAATCAGCTGGGACTTGGGAGGCAAAGAATAGATGGGGGTGGGGCCAGTCAGAATTTTTACTACCGGTTCTCCAAACTAATCAAAATTTCTGCTACCGGTTCTCCAGAACTGGTCAGAACCTGCTGAAACCCACCTCTGTATTACGGTCTAGTTTTGTGCCATATCTACTTTTGTTATCCTTTGTAGCAAAACCATGTATACCATACCATGATTTAGTATGATACTAGAAATAAATATTAATTCCCCCCCTTTTTTAAATAATTTTCAGTTTGAGGTTAACTGATTATTTATAATTTTGATAAAATTGATATTTTATGGGCACTTGATTGAATGCTTGGCTCTTTATTTCAATCATTCAGAAACAGGGCATAGGGAATTATTGTTGTGTTCCCTTTACACTCTAGTTCTTCACATTTCCTCAACTTCCTCTGCTTCGGCCTGCAATAAATAAAAACATATATTACATTGGATTGTTCAGATTTTACATGCATTCCAATAAAAGCAGTGGCAGAGTGACATCTGCCATTGTACAGGTAATCCTTGATTTACAGCAGTTCATTTAGTGACTGTTACTAAAGTTACAATGATGCAGAAAAAAGTGACTTATGACCATTTTTCAGACGATTGGCAACTGACTCATATTTTTGACGGTTGCAGTGTCCCGGAGTCATGTGATCTCATTTTGCAACCTTCTGACAAGCAAAGTCAATGGGGAAGCCAGATTCACTTACTAATTTAACTGCAGTGATTCACATAACAACCATGGCAAGAAAGGTTGTAAAATGTGATAGAATTTACTTAACAACTGTCTCACTTAGCAACAGGAATTTTGGGCCCAATTGTGGTCATAAGTCAAGGACTACCTACATGTACAGTACACATAAGTACTAATGAGAAAAAAAGCTCCAAAATATTTCTGTGCTTTAACTTGTTTCTTTAAAATATTTAAAATAATCTTCATCATAATAAATTTTCTTTATATCTGGTAGCGACAGAAAAATATTACTTACAAAACGCTGTATAAATCATATGCTTCTGCTTTGCTAATTCTCTATTTGTTATCAATGGGTGATTTAGCACCATCTCATGTTTCTGTTTTTAATTTTTAGATCCTCCAAGAGAAAATGGTCAGCCATCGCATTTACTGACTTCAGTGCTGATCCTGATTTTAGTGTTCATAATTTTAATTATTTTAGCTGGCTATTTCTTTAGGTATGTATGAATCAGACTCTTGATGTGAAACTAGTTGTTTCTTGTTATTACCATGTGATCTCATAAGGAAATGAAAGTTGCATAGCTGCAGCTGTGCTGTCTGTAGTTTCCCACATTAATCAGTGTAGTGGATGGAGGATGTTACACACCGTTTCTGTGCATCAGCTACAATATAACATTTATAACTGGAAAAAACAATGATTAGAAGAACCTTCTCCAGAGTTACTTGGTTTGTGAGCCATAATATAGAATATTTTTTGTAATTTATTTAATCTCATGAGACCTATACTGTGGCCTTCTAAATGGTTCTTATATTTATTAAGGTTCCGAAGACACAGAAAAGCGGTTGTAAATTCCACTGATAAAAAAATGCCAAATGGAATCTTAGAAGAGCAAGGTAATTATTTTTTTATTTAATCGTATATAAAGATATACTTTTTTAAAACAATGTAATGTTGAAAAGGGAAGCAAATAGATTTCACAGGGTTGGTTATTCAGTTGTTAGTGTATCTGAGAACTGTTACTCTTTAGAGAAGATTTGTTCACCTATTATGTTCACTTATTTTTTTTCACATATTAACATTTACATTTACATTACAATTTGGTTCAGAAAGATCTTTTTTTAAAACATTGCATTGTATCAAGTTATAATTTCAGGAATTCTATTTAAATATGTGTTAGATGTAGAACTAATTTTATATATAAATTTTCATGGAATCAATTTTGAACTGCATGCATAATTATTTTAAATAAGGAATTAAATGACAAATATGATAAACAGAACTGTAAAAAATATGAATTAACATATAAAGGAGGAAGGTCAAAAGAAATTTGAGTTTCTGTACATGCTGAACACCTACATAACTTCATAATGTAACAAATACAGTACAATAACACATACATTTCTTGCATTAACAGTTTCAGTACTTTAAGACACTCCTTTTGTAAATCCAGAATAAGAAAGCTTTCTAAATCATTCTTCTGATTTATTAGTATGTTCTCCTTAGTTATTGAGACATTAACTGGTTTTAGATGTAAATCCATTACATCATTCTTGCAGTCAGAATCCATTTTTCAGAAAAATGGATTTGAAAATACTGTAAAGCTAGTAATTCTTGTGAAGTTTTCCATTTATGGTAGCAGTACAGATGTGGTCTTAATTTTAAGTTTTTATTTTAAATGAGCAATGGAAGTAAAGTATGTTGCTTTTTGGCTGTGCATATAGTACAGCCAGCTGGATTATTGCAATGCATTCTATGTAGGGCTACCCTTGAAAAATATCGGAAGCTTTAATTGCTACAGAATGAAGCCGCGTGAGCCATATTGGGTGCCCAGTGAAGGGCAAACATAACATTCTTGCTCCATGAACTGCACTGGGTGCCAGTTTGCTTCCAGGTGCAGTTCAAGGTATTGATCATCACCTGGCATAGACTCCAGGCTACCTATAGAATTTACTTCAGCCCATCAAATCAGCCCATCCCACTCAATAAAACATGGAGGGTACTGAAGACCTATCAGTCAAAGGATTTTGGCTAGTTGGAACTGGGAAGAGAGCCTTTCTGGTATTAGCGCTGCATTATGAACATCTGCCCCCAGAGGTGAGGCAATGCCCCACTCTCCTGGCCTTCTGCAAAGGAGTCAAAACTTGGCTCTATGGCTTTGCCGGGGGTGGGGCACAGAAAACCATGGGCCTGTGTGACAGGCCAGCCAGACCCATGAGGGCCCCCCTGCCTGTATTAACTAATGGAGTGGCCATCTTGGAATTTATAATGTTGTAATCTTATAATTAAAAATAATATTAAATTAATTTTAACACTTTAATGTTAATTTTATATATTGCCTATATGTTGATTATACTGACACAATACAGAGCCCCGTCTGAGAGAGGTGGGTGGTTTAGAAATATGAAATATAAATACATAAATGCATGCTGTGTGCTTTCATTTCCTTTTCACAGAACAGCAGAGAGTGATGCTTCTCAGACAGTCTCCTTCTGGACCAAAGAAGTATTTTCCTATTCCAGTAGAGTTCTTGGAAGAAGAAATCCGGATAAGAGCAGCTGATGATGGGAAGTTGTTTCGGGAAGAGTTTAATGTAAGTTGCCCTTATTTTGTTACTTCATTTTGGTTTTCTTAAATGAAAGATTGCAAATAAAATGAACAAAATTTTAAGTGAACAATAAAAATTGCTTTTGTATTTATCACTTTCATGCTTTTGGATTGTTCAGATATTGTATGCTCCTATGCTGTGTAAACTCTTATTATATCTATTATTAACAAAATCAGAGTTTAAAGGGGTCTCTACCTTTTTTTGGAAATGAGATTTCCAATCTTATATCTTGCTGCTGTTCAGCTAAGTCAGCGGTGTCAAACTTGTGTTGTCATGGTGGAATTACGTGATGTATCGGGACTTTTTTCTCCTTCGCTAAACCAGGCATGGGCATGGCCAGCACATGACGCATCCGGCCCATGGGCCGCGAGTTTGACACCCCTGAGCTAAGTGGCAAATTCGTTGACATTTTTCTAGATGTTTTACATTATCATGAGTAATAATCTATATTAATACTATCTGTAATAATATATGATGCCTGACTCCCAGCAATTCTTACATCTTACAGAATCCTTAAGTTTTAGCCTTGGGAATTAGGGTTATGTGAACTTCATAACGATTCCAAAATATTTAAAACCAGGTGACAAAAGAAAGATTCATATACTAAAATAATAATGAAACATGACTGCTTCTTTCTTAATGTGTTATTTGGACCCAAACATTCTGGTTTTAAAACCATGGTTTTAAACCTAACCTTTGTGGTTTATTTCAATAAACATGGATGTTTTATTGAGCCACGGTGACACAGTGGTTAGAACTGCAGGCTACTTTGCTGATCACCGGCTGCCAGTAGTTTGGCAGATCAAATCTCACCAGGCTTAAGGTTGACTCAGCCTTCTATCCTTCTGAGGTTGGCAAAATGAGGACCCAGATTGTTGGGGGCAATATGGTGACTCTGTAAATCGCTTAGAGAGGACTGTAAAAGCACTGTGAAGCCGTATATAAGTCTAAGTGCTATGGCTATGTTAGCTCATCATGTGACATTAGTCTCTCCTTCATGTTGCTTCTTTCATACTTATAGATCCTTCTTCTTTTCAGAATTATAAACCCTGCCTTTTAAAAGCCATCCAGTTTTTAAAGCTGTGGCAGAACATTTGATAAGTGCCTCTCACCAGCCCTAGCCAGAGAGGCCAAGAACAAGCAATTGTAGGAATTGTGATTTTTTACCTTCTTACAGGATTTTTTTTCAAAGAAAAAAATGGATAGTAAGAACGAAGAGAGATAATCATAACAGCTATCCCATTTCAATTTCCCTCTCATTGAGGCTGGAAATAGTGATGTTGAAGACCCACAAATCTCAAGGGCGCCAAGTTAAGAAGGATTGCTTTAAAACTAAATATAGTGTCTCACTTTAGAGTTCAGAATATATTTTTTGCTTCCTGCTGCATTGTGGTTGCATGGGTTGTTGGGCTCGTGAATAGTTGATAGATAATCTGTCCCTAGCTTCTGAAAGCCAGATGCATTAAAATGAACTTACCTTCAGTTCTGGTTGGGTTTCAGCAGTTCTCTGATGTAGCTATGATGATCACATGTTTACATTCATTTTAAGTTTAAGTGAAAAGGTTGCCAATTAAACTCCCAGGAGTGGAATCATGCCCTTTAGAGTGTAGCTTTGTAATTGGCAGGACTGTATGTCAGCCATTATGATTACATATTTAAAACTTGCCTTTTCAAGTCTGAATTAATGTGGGTATATTGAGTTGTGTGGTTAAATATGTTAGGAAAAGACAACAATACGAATCTCCAATGAAAATGGTCATGCTTAAAGCGGGTATAAAAGTTGATTTTATGCTTGTTCTGTGTTTGTTTCTCAAGCGGCTTTCTGGAGAAATACTAAAATAGAAACAAGTCTTTTTAAAAAAACTCCCTTGCCCCACATAACAAAGGGAAGTTCAGTTTTCCAGTTTTACACAATTTGTCTGATTATGCAAAGAAGATGAAAGTACTCAAAGGGCAAAGTAATTTTTTAAAAAGCTTCCATAAAAGCTCACTTCTTTCTTTTATTTTTGCCAAATATATTGAAATAAAATTTTAAAAAAACCAGAGTATCAAAAATAATATATAGTATATTTAGTTTATAGTTATTCATGGTCAGTTTTCAGTTACTTATGTTCCTGTTTTGTTTGTTTGTGTGTGTGTGTGTGAGAGAGAGAGAGGGGTGGGGTGGGGTGGGGAGGAGGGAGAGTGATGTTCTGTTTAAAGAAAAAAGTTACAAAGCCAAAGCAAGCATACATATTGAAGCAACAAATATGACACATTTATGTTGTGGCAACAGAATGTAACCTACACAAGAGACTTCCTTATTAGCTAGTAAACACTAATTGTTTAACCTGGTTTTTGCTAGTTTTCAAAGAAAAATCTTCAGAGTGCACATCTGATTTAAATTCAGTAATGATTAAGACCATAATGTATTTATTTATTTATCAATCAAACTCTTAACTGTCCATCTTCCTCACAGAGGGGATCTATATGTATAAGTTATAAGCTTTGCTCCCCTTATTATTTTCTTAGGGTTTTCAAGCATCCATATACACCCACTTTTGTTTCTTGTTAAAAGGCTGATCTTCCTTCATATTGCAAATAGCATATGATCAGTAGAGACAGCTTCTGATCAGTTTAGCAGTAATGCCAATGGGTTAAAGTAGATTAATGTAAGTCTCCATCCAAATAACAATAGCACTTAGACTTATATACAGTTTCATAGTGTTTTACAGCCCTCTCTAAGCGGTTTACAGAGTCAACATATTACCCCCAACAATTTGAGCCCTCATTTTACACCCCTCAGAAGGATAGAAGGCTGAGTCAATCTTGAGCCGCTCAGAATCGAACTCCTGGAGTGAACAGTGAGTTAGCCTGAAGTACTAAACCTACTGTAACTTCTTTTAAAATCAGTTGTAGAAATACAACATTTATTTGTAAATTAAAATTTACTAGTTGTAGAAATACAACATAAATTCTGCCCTGTCTAATTTGGAAATATGCAATTCAAAAGGTATATTCTATCCCTGTGAGAGATATATATAATAATAGAGTAAGTAGTTGTGAGGTGCAATTTATTCCATTCAACAACCAAGAAGTATTTATAGAACTTGATCCTCATCTGCAGTTTATCCTAAGCTCTCGCTGAGCGAAATAGCTGTAATTTATAATTAGATGTCTCAGATTTAAAGTTAACACTCTCTTGCTGCAGCTTCAAGATGTGCAAAATGTGTAAGGTCAGCTGACTTATTGTGGGTGTCATTAGAGTTGCATTTGGGAAGGGACGGGCATGTTAATTCATCCTACCACCACTATCCAGCTTCAGATCAGCTATTTTTTTCTCTCAGAATTTGCTGCTTTCATTAGCATTTTCTTTCTGAGTCCCTTTCATAATCATCCATACCTCCTCCTATTTTTTTTAAAAAAGTTTCTCTCCAGGCTTCAACAGAAAGACAGCAGAGCTCCATTATTTTATCTCATGAAGAAAAAGAATCTGTGAAATCTCTCTCTCTCTTCTCCCCTCCCTCCCTCCTCCCTCCCCCTTTCTCTCTTTCTGTCTCTCTCCCCCCTAGTTATACTGAGTGGCCTGTGTGTTTGCTCAGATCTGGATATAGGGATTGACCAGGACTGTACTAGATGCAAATTAAATCTGAAATTATACACAGTAATTTTCTGACAGAATTGCCTTTGTTGTTAATTAGTTTCAAGTCTTCAAGTTATCAGTTTTAGTTCTCTCACTTTATAAGACCTAACCAGATGCAGAATCTTGGAAATATCTTTCTCTTCTTTTGAGGGATATTTCTGCTTTGGTATCTTTCTGTGTGATTTTGAATTAATTGAATTAATATTGAATTTTTGAAAATGAACTGAACTAATTGTCAGACGGGGTCTGTGCTGAGGAGCAGACAAATAACCCTCCAAAGAAAGCCAGTCAGAATTGAGAAATCAGCCCTCCCTCATTCTGGTTTTAGTGTTATGATTGGTTGATGTTTTTCCTGTTGCCTGGTGGTGACATGGATTGGCAGTAAATCAAAAGATAAAGCCAGTTCTCATGTCTATGAAGTCTGGATTGGCTTCACTCAGGACAACACCATTCAGCAGTGATTTGGAACTAGAGGCAAGATAAAGATTGCAGTGGCTACAGACTGCATGGATCATGGGTAGCTCTTTAACATAGTAGTGGGAAAAGCCAGTTTGTGTAGTGGTTAAGGCATCATACTAGAAACTGTGAAAGTGTGAGTTCTAGTCCCACCTTAGACACAAAGCCATCTGGGTGACCTTGGGCAGGTCACTTCCTCCTAGCCCTAGAAAGCAATCAATGACAAACTGTTTCTGAAAAACCTTGTCCAAAAAACTACAGGGACTTGTCCATATGATTGTATAGGGAAAAATATATAAACTGGGAAATTTTATCATTCCACCTTATACTGTATAGATCTGGTCCCTCAAGTGTCCAGTCTTGTTCTGGGCATCACACTTTTAATATTTCCAAAAACATGAACAGAGAAGACCAGTGATGTTTATCAGAGAATAAGATGCTAAGTCCTTTGAAAAATGGTCTGAAAATGGAGCCACTATCCACAAATGATGGATTCCCTTCACTAGATGTGCTCAAGATCGGGTTAGACTGTCATCTGTAAATTTATATTCAGTACTATTTGCAACTTCCATTTATATACGTGATGCTGTACCTCTTTTGCACCTGCATCAATACCAAACATACAGTATGTGTAAAGGCATAAGGCTTCAATTGTGTGATTCCTATTTTTTTGACCTTACTGAGTGTGCAATTAAGATGCATTGTGGAAAAACCAAAGCTTTGCACAGCCTTACTAATTTCCACTTTTATCAGAGTCACACAGACATGATTGGCTCATTCTCTTGTGCATTTGTAATTTCTTATTTTCAATGCATGCTATTAAGAAGTTGAATTCTATAGTTATTACTGTTAACTCTGCTTTCAGTTATATTTTATATTTACCAATATGAATACTTACAAACCTAAGCAAGAAGGTTATTTAACAATTTTAAGTAAAAATAGACAGCTCTTATTCAGGATAGATTTATGATATCCATAATACATAAGTCATTTTCAAATAAGAGGTTTATATCATACAAGAAAAAATAACGCAAAAAAATCTAGTTTAAGAATAGAGCTTGTTCTTGCTTGGTGCATTCAATAATTTTGCAGATGACTTTAAGGATGAATGTATGACAATTAATATTCTGATATAGATAATATAAAATTTCATAAAGTATTAAAATGTATTTTAATCATCCATTTTTTGTTATTGATTGCTGTTTTAAGTCATACAATTTATATTTTCTGTAGTCATTACCACCTGGATATTTGCAAGGAACACTTGAGATGGCAAACAAAGAGGAAAATAGAGAAAAAAACAGATACCCCAACATATTACCTTGTAAGTATTGCTAATATATATATTTCAAAATTCTAAATAGTCCAGTATGACCAGGCAGCTGGTCATGTTAAAAACAGCTAACAAAGATAGGCAACTGTCTTATGAGATCAAGTCTGATAAATTTAAGGTGATATAAACATCTGTTTGTTTGTTTAATAATATTTATAAGTCACCTCAATCCTTTTAGTCAGCATTAAGGTCTGAATATGGGATGAAAATAGCATTAGTCCTGCTTTTTGGTAGCAAGAGCTGGACAGGAGTGGCTAAGTATCCTCTTAGCAGCTTTTGATGGGTTCTTCTGGACTAGCTCTGGAGATTGGGGATGGGCAGCACACTATTGTGCTTGTTCTCTTCCTTCCTCTGGGGTTGATGCTAGTTGGTGATGATTGGGGGGAGGGAGAAATCCTGCCCTCTGCTTTTATTATGCAAGTACCACAGATTCAGTGCTCTATTCTCTCCTATTCAGTATCTACATGAAACTGCTGAGTGAACTCACCTGTCACCCTCTGGTGAGGTATTATCAGTACACTGATGATATCCAATTATACATGTCTGCCCCTTAAGCAAATTAATCAGTGTTGTTGATGTCATATCCCAGTGCCTGGAGGCCATGGGATCCTCAAATCCTGGTTGTGTCAACAGGCCAGTGGGTCACAAGGGAGTGGTGATCTGATGAGGTTGTTCCATTGCTTGTAGTATCTGATAGTATCTCCTAAGCTTTTTAATAACAATTTTAATTTTTCTATTTGTTCAATTTTTTAAAAAATGGCTTTTATTGTTTGATAGTATACTACCCAGAATCACATTTAATGAGATGGGTGACCATAGAAATATGATACATACATATGCCCAATTGCACATCATCATCCGTACGTACATACATACATACATACATGCATACATGTATGCATGCATACATGCATACTTACCCTGGGAAGTTTGCAATTCAAAATGTAATATATTATAACAAAAGTCCCAAAGGTGCTTTTTCAAGAGGCAACTGGATTTTCTGCTTTTTCTGGAAGCTTCTTGGATGAGAAGCAAAATGTCTTCAAAGAAAAATCAGAAAATCCAGTTGCCTCTTGAAAAAGCACCTTTGGAACAACCATGACCTGGATGACTAAGAATCTCCATAGACATTATAACAAAAGAATTAAAATAATAACATTCTCACTTATGTATCTGACCCAGGCCAATATACATATATTTGCATATTTAGTAAGAGATAAATTATCAACAGTTTGACATAAAAGTAACAACTACAGTTACTATGAAATTAGAGGAAACCTCAGAATCCCATTCTCCTGGCCTAGCCATCAATTCCCTAATCAAACTATCTTATAATATTGCTTTTATAAGTTGTATCTGATGATACCTGCTTTTTCTCATCTTTGGTGTCAGCAAATGAACAAGCCAGTTCACTTGCAGAAATTACATATTATTTTAAATGTAATCTATCTATCTATATAAAAGTAAAAACCACTCATGCATTAATCACGAAATCTCCAGAACTGTAAAGCCTACAAACTTGAAATTTGCCACATATGTTCCTCTTGGCTTCTAGGTGCTCACTAAGAAAGGATTTTTCAAAATGACCATCAGAGCATTAATATTTCTTATATTATTATAACACACTCTGATGCTAATTAGTTAGACGTTCTACTCCCCCTATCCCAAACTAATCCAAATGTTTCCACAGAATGGAAACGTTTCTGTGGGGCAAGGCTGAGGGAGACAAGGAGAGAGGAGAGGATCTATGTGGCCAGCCTGAGGGAGAGAAGGGGAGAGGAAAAGACAGGAGAGGCTTCTGTGGGGCCAGCCTGAGGGAGAGAAGGGGAAAGGATAGGCCGATCGTAACTACTCATTAATTTTTAAACTCTGTGTCGATTTATCAAGCCCGATCATATAGTTTCATAGCGGAGCATGGGTATTCAGCTAGTCATTCATATTAATATAAGCCAATAAAATCATGTGTTGCTTTAAGAGTGTATACAATCAAAAAGAGCACTAGACTGTTAAGGGAATGTGTCTGTTGCTTTTCTAAAAGGTTGTCATGTTGTATGCCACATAGCTGGTAATTCACACTTTTGAAGATCATTTCTTTTAAAATTCTAATCTGCTGAGGTCTTCTTGGCTGGTTGCCCAGCAATTTAATTCATTAGTTTCTGGAGATTATATAGGAAATAAAACTGCCAGAAACTTCTTGTAGAATTAAGTGAAGTTTTCCAATTACAGACAAAAGGAAGTAGTTTTTCACAAATTCTAATACCTGGATAGATTCCAGAGGGATCTTGGGGTTTTCTCTGAGGATATGGTTGTAGTTCAACTGAAATAGGTAGATAGCTGAGGTGGATTGGATTGCTCCTTTGCAGTTTCTTATATGTACCCCTCCTGCAGTGCACCTCAGTTTTCCAAGGAGCTGCAGGAGATGAAATTCCAGAAGAGGTGCCCTAAAACACTAGTGGTGAAAGATTAGGAGCAAGTCGGATTAACCTGAATAAGAATCAGTGTGCTGTTTTAAGGACTATTCTTGCTGTCTGGCGGATAAAATCATTTAGATTTATTCAGAGTTGGACTCCAGTTGGATAGGTCCAGTGAAAATATTTAGATAGAGTTCTATAGGATTTCTGTGACTGCTGATGAAGTGGACAGAGTCCCCGGAACTCTGAGCACAGCTATCTATCTTAATTAGATTCATATTTTTCCTGGTTGGTCAAAGGCCTAGGAGGTAACATGCAATTGGGTCCATGTAGTGATACTTGCTCCTTTGAGAGAGAAGGTCTTCCTGTGGTATGTCTTTTTCCTCAAGAAACATCAAAGCCCTGGACAGATTCTGTTCAGTCTCCAGCTTTTAATTTTTCATCATTACTGCTTCAAGCATCTTTTCTGGCACTTCATTTCCTGCAGCTCTTTGGAGAACCTTGGAGAACCAAGGTATACTTGGTAGTGGGGCTTCAGCTCCAGAGGATCCAGGAAGAGATAGATTGTCTGGGCCCTTTTCAGGCAGGTTACAGCACAAAGATAGCTTTGGACATGCTTGTTGATGGCCTGTGGCAAGGTTGGGTAGGGGTAGTGCAATCATCCTTCTGTTTCTTAATTTCTTATTAGTTTTTGATACAGGTGATCATAGTATTTTTTTAGACTGGCTGCAAAGTTTGAGTGGGGGCACTGTTTTGCTATGCTTTTCTTTGTGGTTAGTTCAGTCAGTCCATGGCATCTCAAAATGTCACCCTTTTGTTTAACATCTACGTAGAAGTGCTACATGAGGTCATCTGTCAGTTCAGAGCAAAGTATCATCAGTGCATCAGTGTAGTACAAGGGTGTCAAACTCAAGGCCCAGGGGCCATATCCAGCCCACGGGGTGCTTAGATCTGGACCACAGGGCTGCCCAGGAAACAGCAAATGGCTGGCCTGCGGTGCCTCTGTCAGTGAAAACGAGCTCCTGAGCTCTGCTTTTGCTGGCAGAGGGTTGCAGGAGGCCGTCGCAGCAAAAAACGGAGCCCATTTTCCCTGGCAGAGTGCTCAGGCTACCACAGGCACCCTGACACGAGTGATGTTGAGCTGGCCACCCCCAACCTGCCTCCCCCCCCTCAGGTCAAACACAACCCTGATGCGGCCCTCAATGAAATTGAGTTTGACACCTGGTGTAGTACATATACCAAAATATGCATCTGAATTCTAGGAGAAGCAAGTGATGCTGTCAGGCTTCTGTCCCAGTATATGGAAGTTGTGCACAACTGGAACACAATTAGGTTAAATCCTGTCCCAAGCCTTTGGAGCCCCTAGGCCTGGGGATCTTCCATCTTTGATTTTGGATGGGATTGGACTTGTTCATCAAGACTGGTATGTAATCTGAGGGTCATCTTGAATTTACAGTTCCTGCTTGAAGAGCAAATGGAAGCTGTAGCTAAGTGGATCCTTCCACAGATACATCTAGTATGCCAGTTGTACCCTTTCCTGGACTAGGACGCCATTCAGATAGTCACTCATGCCTTAATCATTTCACAATTGGATTCTTTTAACATGCTCTATATGGCTCACCCTTGAAAACCACTCAGAAGCTACAGCTCATTAAGAATGCAATGGCATGGGTAGTAAGAGGCATGCCTTGATATGCTCAGGTGACCCAACGGTTTCATAAGCTGTACTGATTACTGATTGACTTACAAGTACAATTCAAGGTTATCAGCTATAAAGCCCTTCATGGGCCTGGGTCTGGTTGTTGTCTGTGGGGTTGCCTATTTCCCGTTCTTTTTGTCCATCCAGTGGTATCAGGCACATACAATATGCTTTGGATCCCATCATTATGTATGGTCTACTGGGACCCAGAAACCATGCCTTCTGTGCTGCGGTAGCTGCCTTCCATAATTGCAGAGGTCTGGATGGTTCCACCATGAGGTCATGCAAGAAATTATTACATACTTAGCTGTACTCTCAGGCTTTGGGACAGGGTGATGCTTAGATGATTTTCAAAAAGTATTTTTTGTCAGGTGGTTTATGATTTATTTTTGGTTGCTTTTTTTTTTCTTATGAGCTGCTCAGAGTTTCTGGGAATCAGGTGGATTCTATACTATATGTATGTGTTCATAGACAGGTAGCCCTTGACTTAACGACCATAGTTGGGACAGGATTGCCACCATAAGTTCATTGTGGCTGTAAAGCAAGCTGTCATATGACTATTTTGCTTAGCAACAACAATCTTGACAATTAAATGAATTTCATCAATCATTAGCCAAGAATGTACCCCAATCCAAGCCATTCCAGGCTTGGTCTCTTCCCGTCCCAAGCTTCAGTAATGTAGCGGGCTGCTTCCAACTTCCTGCACTTCTCTTTCTTCCCCTCCCATCTTTGGCCCTTTTCTGCTCTGCACTCTTCCTGCACTGCAAGGTAGCAAATACCCCCGAAACTGTCTAGCTGGAAAGCCTCAATCCTTTCAGCTCATCTTCATCAGTTTTTTCTTTTCCTTTATTCTTGCTGCTTTAGAAGGAGTGCCTGGCCTGACTAGCTGGGGTGGACTGGGTTTTGTCTGCAGGGAGAAAAAAAAAGTCAAAAGGAATCCCTGAATGGTAGCATGCCAAAATGTGTCTTTTTCCAAAACCTAGATCACAGTGCGCCAGGGTGGGCACAACTCATCAGGAGTGACAGCAAAAAACAAACAAACACTGTAGATGAGATAGGGCAGCTGTGGCTTCCCGGGATATAACAGAACAGAATAACAGAGTTGGAAGGGACCTCGGAGGTCTTCTAGTCCAACCTCCTGCTTAGGCAGGAAACTATACACCACTTCAGACAAATGGTTATCCAATATCTTTTTAAAAACTTCCAGTGTTGGAGCATTCACAACTTCTAAAAGCAAGTTGTTCCACTGATTAATTGTTCTGTTAGAAAATTTCTCCTTAGTTCTAAATTGCTTCTCTCTTTGATTAGTTTCCACCCATTGCTTCTTATCCTACCCTCAGGTGCTTTGGAAAATAGCTTGATTCCCTCTTCTTTGTGGCAGCCTGTTCTGTCCCCGTCTCACACACGCACACAAACAGACAGCCGGGGGTTAAATAAACTGGCAGACAACCAATTCTTTCAATAAGAGAATTGGCAGCAACCCAGTAGCTGCTTGCCAAGAACTTTACTCATAAACAAGATACACACAGTTCACGAATTGTCAAGTCCAGTCCGTAATTAAATCCAAGGCAGATAATGTTGTTTCCAAAGATGCAGTGTGACTCGATAGTAGTTAGTTTTGTCCATCACAGAGTCTGATTGGCCACCTCACCCCCTTATATCCCCTGTGGGGTGTGGTCCAGTGACTCAGCTTAATCTCTGGCTCGCCTTCTTTTCTGTTGCGTGCGCTTGTCTCTCTGATGCTGGCGTGGATCCAGCCAAGACTTATCCCCTTCACTGTCTGACTGTGAGGAAATACCTGACTCCTGGCCAATCTCTTCTCCTATGGGAGACACCTGAGGCATTGCCAGAGAGGAGGGTCCTGGAGAGGGAGGCCTGGCCAACTCCTCTCCTTCATGTTCGGAGCCTTCTCCCTCCGCTAAGTCGGCCTCGGGGGTCGGAGCCACAACACAGCCCCTGAGATATTGGAACACTGCTATCATGTCTCCCCTAATCCTTCTTTTCATTAAACTAGAAATACCCAGTTCCTGCAACCGTTCTTTATATATTTTAGCCTCCAGTCTCCTAATCATCTTTGTTGCTCTTCTCTGCACTCTTTCTAAAGTCTCCACATCTTTTTTACATTGTGGCACCCAAAACTGAATGCAGTATTCCAAGCGTGGCCTTATCAAGGCATTATAAAGTGATATTAACCCTTCATGTGATCTTAATTCTACCCCTCTGTTTATGCAGCCTAGAAATGTGTTCGCTTTTTTGGCATATGACAAATAACCCCAGAGCTGTGTAATGGTGCTGCTGCTTGTCAAGGACAGAGATGTGGGGAGATAAGTGAAGGGGAGGAGTTGGCGCGCCCCTATGGTCATTAGTGCAGGCAGACTGCCAAGCACCCAAATTCTGATGTTACCTTGGAGGTGCTGGAACAGCATAGATTGTAAGTTCAGTTTTTCAGCACAGTTGTAACTTTGAACAGTTGCTGAATTAAGGGTCACAAGTCAAGAACTACCTGTATGTATGAATAAATCAGTAAATAAACTGATAAACCATGGAATTTTCTACCATGAATATACGGTGTTAATTATTGATGTTTTTCTCCCTGTGTTGAACCAAGATAATAGATAATCTTATTTTGTTGTGAAAGTATTTGTTATACTCTGTCTCAGCTATACTTCTGTTTTGTTGTATTGACTTTATTTTATATTTTACTTGTTATTGTTTTTGATTTTAATGATGAAGATTGGAATATTAGTGTCTGTGATCCCTTCTCCAAACTGAAAACTATACAGCACCTCTCAGGGTGGATCTTCACTGAGGTTCTTTACTGGAGGTGCTTCTGATTGATTTACACAGATCATAGAAAATAAATAATAATATATGTATATCCTATGCATTTACACCAAGCACAGGGATGATAGGTATATCATATCAACTTGTCTATCTGACCTTGCCAAGAACACGAAGTTTATCTTGACAGATTTCAGTTAGCAGTGTCAAAACAAAGCCACACCAAAGGCAAGAAATGTCTTGTTTATACCAGATGGTTCTAGTTAAAAATAGAGAGGGTCACGCCACTGTACACAAGCGTTTCATGCCAAGGATGAGCAAGATATTAAATAGAATGTTTAAGATTAGCTGATGTAGTGCACTAAATATTTGGATACATTTCACAATGTACCTGAAATAGAGACTTCTATGTATTTAAGGGAAAGAGGGACATTCTACTTTCCATTTCCTCTTTCCGGAACGTCTGGTAGGACCGCCACCTCTGTAAAAGCTTCCTATATGAACAGTCTGTGTGCTGTGGACAAATCTGATGTAGGTTGGTGAGACTTACAGGTTTTCATCTAGCTTACTTCAGATCATTCCTTCCAGTCAGCCATAAATTCTGTGCTTCCGTGGCCATTTCTGCCTTGGCTGTTGAAAGTAAGTCTTGCCTGCAGCCTTTTTAGTGATCTAATGGAAAACCTTCCACAAGATTAATACTTTTAATGGAAAGTAGTAAGTGACAATTATATTCCAGTGATAACATCCAGAATATAATCCAGTAGTATTTATAGGTATTTGTAAGGTAATCTGGAAATCTTCCAATGGAGGAAGGCAACAAATTTAAATTAATTTAAATGTAATTAATTATATTAATTTGGGCACAATTAAAAGCTGCTTTATCTTTATTTGTCTCCCTTATGGGAGGGTCTTACCAGATGATACTATCTGAGATGGTGACAAGATTCTCCTAGAAGTATTAAACAATAATATTCTTTCTGATCCTGAGATTCCAAAGCAGATTCAGTAATGACCAAATTGACAAGGTTTTTGTCTACATTAGAAGCTATGCCCAATTAGAAAGGCCATGTGCGGCCAGGGAGTAGGGAAGGGTGGCATCAGTTGGTGCAATGATTCAGCCTGGGTACCACAGATGGGTAACTGGGTCTGAAGGATGTAGATTCCCCAATATTGAGCTCCCACTTCTAGTCATCCTGCCATCTTCTCTCTTCACAAGAGTTACAAGGTTATAATCTGCACCACCAACTTCTCAGGGTACCAATGTTGCTGGCTTTATTTCAATAGAGCATCAAAAGAAATGCCACAGGAACAGTAGCTTTTCATGTCATATATTTTCCTTCTGTTTCAGAGACATGAGATAACATATCATTCATGGGGTGAGAAAGAGTCCTTAGATAATTGTAAAAGGAATTAGATACATTCATGAGACCAGTTGCTAATTCTGATATCTACTAATTATTTCTAGGAGAATAACATCAACAGGGGAGTGTTGTGTGAGGACATCAGAACTTTATTATGTTTGTAATCCGGGAATCACTATCAGAAAAAAGAGTGTCATAGCTTTATTTGTAAAGAGGTTGTCCCTAAATTACTTGGTCTATGTCCATTTGTAGTGGTAAAATTAATGCTATTAATTGTTATTAATCATTCTTTCTTTCTTTCTAAGATTTTGCATTTATGTTCATGATACATTGCTAAATTGATGCTTTAAAAATCATTATTTTAGTAGGATGAGTGCATGGTGTTATTCAGTATAGAAGCTATAATACAGTATTTATAAATCATCATACATTGCTGTATCAACTTTTTTTAGGTTAGCTTTTTTTCCCAGAAGGAAATTACACATTTAGAGCTTTATCCACATTTCATCCATGTTAGAAATATATAGTTCTAACTGTGTTCCTTTTTACAGATGATCATTCCAGAGTAACTTTAATGCAAATAGATGGATTTCAGTGTTCAGACTATATTAATGCTTCATATATAGATGTAAGTGAAATCCTTTTCTTTTTCAATTACTTATTTTCTCAAAATAACTACATGTTTTTAAAAGCATCTTTAATGTATATTCTTGTAAAAATAACACACATTTTTATTTTCTCATAGGGCTTCAAGGAAAAGAATAAATTTATAGCGGCTCAAGGTATCTTTTGATTTCTATTGTTTGACAATTTAACAATTTCAGAAATATTTAGTTTTGCCTAAACTGAAGTAAGATTTTAAGAATTTTGTAGATTGGTTTTATTTAGTCTAAGGTTAATGAGTGTGCCAAAACACCTAAGTGTTTTTCTGAAGAGTCTTTAGATTGAATAACAAGTTACCAAGAACTGATTTGGAGAAACAGTGGTGCATTGTATCAGAGGAAAAGGGAGAAGTGGGCAATCTGTCTTGACGTAACTCTTTATATGACATTGGCATAAAAATTAGATATATACAGAACCAAGGGAGAGTTAGTAGAGATCAGTTTATGTCAGCCTGTTTCGTTAACTACTAACAAACTGGCTCTTAATAGTAATCATTAGAAAGTAAAAATGAAAAGTTTAGATTAGGGTTAAAGTTTAACATGGCAAATATAATTTCATCACCATGTTTATCAAAGTTATAGTTTGCATGAAAACAATGAAGATGTAGATTTTTGGGGGGGCGGGGGAGGTCCTAGATAAATAGGAAAATGGCAACATATTTGAATATTTAATGCAATTTATATAATAAATTGTCTATGGAGTGTCACTTTTGGTAATTGTGCGTGTGCGTGTGTATTTAATCCAATTTTCCAATTTGAAAATATGTACACAAGGGATTGATGTGGTCCATGAACTGTTGAGGATTATATAAATATATTTATAGTAGATGTCAAAATCTCTTTAATTCTACTGTTTCTGTTTCATTTTATTTTTTGAGCGAGAATAGGCAAGTAACTGTCCAATTATGCTAGTGTATAGATTTTTCTATCAAGATGCAAGAAGAGTGCAGTGGAACGCAAGCATGAATTGTGGTTTGCTTGAGCCAATTAAACTTTATATTTCTAAGGAATAAAGGATTAGGGAGATATGTCTTTACAATTAAAATTTTATTGTGATATATTCACCTCACTAGCAAGAATAAACTTTGGATTCAGGGCCACTGCACAATTTTTTATATCTCAGCCTGAAGCTTCAGGAGGAATGTGTTTTAAATTAACAGACATAGTGTAGAGTATATGTTGCTAAAAAGAGGGATAGTTTATTTGATGGAGATAGTGAAACATTTTTATTGTCATATCCCAATCCCAGTTTGCCTGTTTATTTCAATTTTAATATGTATTTTTTAAATTGGTTTCTTTTCTTTGGATTTTCTGAATGTTGTAAATCTGATATTCTTTTCAATAGATAGGATGAGAAACATGTTTCTGTGCTTTGTATAGCTGTTAATTCTGTAGTTGTTTTCTATATCTAGGTCCTAAACAGGACACAGTAAATGATTTCTGGAGGATGATATGGGAACAGAAGTCTGCAACTATTGTCATGTTAACAAATGTGAAAGAGAGAAAAGAGGTAAGACATTTTAAAGTTTATTTCCCTCCAACAGGTTTAGAGTAGTCCAATAGCCCACAAAACTATTAGTAACATAACCACTTCCTGTATCATCTTGTCAGTAAAATGTCAGTGTCTTTGATACAGTACAGCTCTGCAGTAATTTTAATACCTGACCATAACATAATTTTTCTCACATTGCTCACATCTTCTCTGTCTCTTTTCTGAATCTTTCCCCATTCAGACAAGATATATGTAAGTTTAATAATTGATGTGTTATATGAACAAATGATCTGAAATTACTTGACTGCATTTTTCTTTGTCTGATTTCCTGGCATTGTTTGAGAGACAAAATTTACAATTTCATAGCTCCAAAAAGTATTAGTAGTACATTTAAGGTCCAACTTTCCTTCTACCATTATTATTGCATTGATTAAATTCAATATGAAAATTGCATCCTGCAGCACACCTATAAAAGTAAGTAGCAGTAGCTAGTGAATGCTGATTTGTGATAAATGAAGCATGATTTTTTTTTGTTGCTCAAGGATGACCTCTCCTAGCACATAAATTGAAGAAAAAAGAGTATATGTAGGCTATATTTTTGAAAGAAATATGAAATTACCTGTCTGTGCTAACTTTAGTTCCAAACTATATTAACTTCTTTTACCTTCTAAATAGACCCAGACTTGAAGAAATGAGTCTGTAGAAAAATCAGACATAATGGATGGTAAAATTGTATCTCAACAAATGTTAGTGCTATGATACTTCACAACTTATCCTGATCTTATTTTGAATATAATTTAAAGCTATATAGCTTTGTTTGGTTTCAATTTCAGAATTAGCCCTATCCTCTTTCCATATCATTGCAACACAATTGTATGTTTTTAACCTATCCGTTTGGGTGAAACATGCAAAATGCTGATGTGCTATGTTTGTGTTTTAACATTTATATAGGACAAATGTTTCCAGTATTGGCCTGATCAAGGATGCTGGACTTATGGAAACATCCGAGTTTGTGTGGAGGACTGTATAGTTCTTGTAGATTACACCATTCGAAAGTTTTGTATTCATCCGGTATTTCATTTTCTCATATTATTCCTTTAAAATATGATTAACTGTTTTTTCACATTCTTTTTAGAATAAGGAATATTTGGAATTACAGTATATGTTTTTGTTCAAGGATAAAAACTCCAGTTATTTAACTTTCAGTTATATTTTCTTGATACTATTATTTTAGAGCTCATACTGAGATTTTATTTGAAATTCTATGCGTACTTTGAGCCCAATGTTATACTAGCATCTTTTTTGGAGTCCCTTCTGGGAGTTCATGATTTCCAACAAATGTAATTGATTATAGATAGCTGTACTGAGTTAATACTTTCTATAAAATCCAAATTATGTTGACATCATAAGAAATGACAATATAAATTATGCCTCCTTCAATAGTAATGTTTTTAGAATGTTATAAACAATAAAATGAGAGGAATAGAATCAGATGCAATAGAATTTCAAAACTATGGGCAGATATTTTGATCTGCTCTGGAAATGTATGGTGGAAAGATTTTTGAATGGCTTTAATCAAACAAATTTGTAGAAATTTTATTAAATGTGATATACACCAGGGAGCCCTTGGTGGTACAGTGGTTAAAGTGCAGTATTGCAAGCAAACTCTGGCCATAGCTTGGAGTTCGATCCTGAGAGGGCTCAAAATTGACTCAGCCTTCCATCCTTCCAAGGTCAGTAAAATGAGGACCCAGATTGTTGGGGGCAATATGCAAATAATGCTTACATTGTAAGCTGCCCAGAGAGTGCTGCAAAGTGCTATTGGACAGTATATAAGCCAAAATGTTACTGCTATATTGCTATTGCTATACTGCATTTATAGCTCTCATATCATTTCCTGTTGATATCTGGTTTGCTGCTCTGGGCACTTAGTTGTATTAGCTTGACTATTGGTCTGGTTCAGCATCATGATTGTTTTGACAGTATATTAAAATGCAAAATTTCAGATGATTTTTTAAAACTCTGGGTATAATACTGGTGCCTGATAAATTGAACCCAGAGAATATTCCAGATTGGAATGTCATTGTGGAAAGATAAATCTGTTTATTGCACACCCTTCATCATGCTTTTGGTGCATGATTGATTTTATATCTGCTTTAATTCTTTTCTTTAATGTGGATCATAAAGAGGAAGGAAAAAGTCAAGGAACAAGTAACTAAATTATTGGTTGACTTCATTCTAAAATGTAGTTGATTGTATTCATATTTTGTCTCTGGACCTTCAGCAGGTTTCTGATGGCTGTAAAGCACCGAGACTTGTCACTCAGCTTCATTTCACCAGCTGGCCTGATTTTGGAGTGCCTTTTACCCCCATTGGAATGCTTAAATTCCTAAAGAAAGTCAAATCATTGAATCCTGCACATGCTGGACCAATTGTGGTTCACTGTAGGTACGTATCTATGTGGAACTGGAGATGTTTATTTTTACCAGTGTCAGGGTGTGGGATTAATAGCGCTAATCCAAAAGATGCTCCATGGAACAAATGTTGGAAGGTGTGTAAAAGAGAAAGAGAAACTACCCTACTTTTCCATTCACAGAAATCTGGTGGTTCTAAGAGATATAGTTGAATACAACTTCAAGACAGTGAGCTTAGATATGATATAAAAATACAGGAAAAATAATACTTGGAAATTATAGACTCCTGTAGACTAATTTTAGTAACTTATTCCACAGTCTTCTGCATAGTAATGTATAGAAAGAACATTGCAGGGAAGCTAAGCTTCAAAATTCAGAAATAAAAACATATCATTAATAAACTTTCAATAAAAAAATGAGCTGTGGCAGATTTAGAGGGAGAGAGGAAGTTGCAATGATATCATAAGCAAAAACAAGTAACCGATGTAACACATAGGAAAAGTCTCTGCCAAGCACAGGATGCCATGCCTTTTTCTTTTCAAGGAAGGCTGAAGATTATTTGCCATGGCAATTTAAACAGCAATCTATGATAATTGTGCTCCCTCTTGTGGTTGTTCAGGAGGTTAAACAGGATTGTCTGTGAATGTAATGAGCTTTCAGTTAGCTTACAAAATCCAGTAAGTTAAGTAAGTTAATAAGTAAGTAAGTAAGTAAACTGCCAACTCACAAAATCCAATAAACAAACAAACAACAAACAAACAGATTACTTACACATTAACAGGCAGTCTAGAATAAAACAATCAAAACAATCATAGAAATATAACATGGGTTTTACAAATGTATCAATGAACCCACTGACCCCTAAATTATGTACCTCCTCAACACCCTGATATGAAACCTTTCAGAAATGGGTCCAGAAATTGGTCCAGCTATTGGCAATATAATAAAGGCAAAGAAATAATGTTTTGCCACCCTTATTGCCACAATAGAGGCTCAAATATGGACTTTCACTTGTGTTTAGTTGGATTTTCACTTTGTCCAATGGTGCTTCAGGTCTGAACTTAGAGTTAAGAGACTTTGAATCTATATGTTTATACTTTTTTGTTTTTGAGTTTTACCTCCCAGTGAACTAGATGTTCATGCTTCTATCACTGCTGCTGGTATTCTTACTATAAATTTAAGAGGTAGGTGCTGTAGAATATAAAGAAAAACCAATAATATTGGAAGTAAGATATATTGTTGCAGTGTGTAGTAAGATGCATTATTCCACTGTGGTTTGTTTAGTTGCAACTGTGTTTTTTCCCCAAGTGCTGGTGTGGGTCGTACAGGCACATTCATAGTAATAGATGCCATGATTGACATGATGCATGCTGAACAAAAAGTTGATGTTTTCGAGTTTGTGGCAAGAATTCGTAGCCAACGTCCACAGATGGTTCAGACAGATGTAAGTAATCATACATACATACATACATACATACATACATACATACATACATACATATTATTTCCAGTAAATATAGGAAGCCTTTTTCTATATGAATCTTTTGCATGTTCATCAATAAAAGTTATTTTTTATTGGTGAACATTTTCTTCTTTTCACTGTTAAAATCTTGGAAATGACAGAGAAACAAAAAGAATTTGCATAGCAACTTAATTTGATATTGTATTCTGTCTCAAATACATCAGGCATTCTTGTTCCCTAAAGCAGTTGTATTTATTCACAGCGAGATTGTCACATATCTCATTTTCTCACTGCTGACATGATGATATCCTAGTGTTTAGAAGAATCACCATCTATTTAAATGATGTTAAAACAGGAGCTAGCTGATCATAGCAAATAGGACGGTGTTTTTTTTTTAAAAAAAGTCAGAGGACAGCACTTTTTCTCACTGAAAATATTTTCCACAAAAGAATTGATACAATCCTCTGTATATGCTCTTGTTTCTATCTAAGATTATCAAATGGGAGATGGGAGAGATTCATTTCTTTGTTAGATTTTTGCAGCTTTTACCATATCACCTGACCTTCTTTTTTATTGTTTTTGTTACGAGAACATTCATGCTATTTTGTAATAAGTAGGTACCACTCTCCGTCTTTAAGTCTCAGGTGTAGCATTTAAGACTTCAGGCTACCAAGTGACCTCTGAAAGGTTTGAGTTTAACCTCTTTTGTAACTTTTACAGAAAATTCAGCTTCTCAAACAGCAGCTTGGACAGTACATTTCACCAATGTGCACTAGGACTGTGGGCGTGCATGAAATATGTAGGTTGAAAACTGCCCATACCTTCAGGGCAATTAAAAATACTCTTGACATATCAGTCCTGTCAATGAGAATATATCTATCCTGCACTTGTTGCATTGGTTGCCAATAGGTTCCTGGCTCAATTCAAAGTGTGAATTATCACCTTAAAAACCTGTTGCAGCATAATACTGGACTACATCAGGCAATATCTAATGAAAATGGAAATATATTCATCTGTTTCAGTTCTATAGAGAGACCCTTTTCCAGGTCTCACCTCCTCATAAAGTTCATAGATTGTAGGCCAGATGGCAGGCTTCTAGGGGGCAGCCCCATTTGATGTAATTCCCCTTTGAATTACAAATAACCCCTATTCTAAAGGCATTTTGAAAATTAGTAAAAGCAGTGCTGTTTAGTTGAATGTCACCACTAATGAATCAGAATTATATGTTGAATTTTACTGCCTAAATATGATTGTAATGCCCTGTTCTCAGCTTTATTTTATTATTTCCAAATCCAGAGTATTTTTGGACTGGGGGAGGCTATACACATAGTTCTCGACTAACAACAATTCATTTAGTTACTGCTTGAAGTTACAAGGGCACTGAAAAAAAATGACTTATGACTGTTTTTCACATTTACGACCTTTGCAGCATCCCCATGGCCATGTGATCAAAGTGCTTACCATGTTTCCCTGAAAATAAGACCCTGTCTTATATTTTTTTGAACCCTGAAATAAGTGCTTGTCCTTATTGCCATGCGCTCAAAAGCCCGATTGGGCTTATTATCAGGGGATGTCTTATTTTGGGGGAAACAGGGTATATTTATCACGATTGCAGTGTCCCAGGGTCATGTGATCACCTTCTGCGACCTACTGACAAGCAAAATCAATGGGGAAGCCAGATTCATTTAACAACTATGTTACTAAATTAACAACTGCAATGATTCATTTTAACAACTGTGGCAAGAAAGGTCGTAAAATGTGACAAAATTCAATTAACAAATGTTTCACTTAGTAATATAAATTTTGGACTCAATTGTGGTCATTGCTGTACACATTGTAAAAATAAGTGAAATCTTTAATTGTAAAACAATGTTGTTGAATTCTATTTAACTACAAATGTTTCAAAGGTTGTGATGTAGAGTATTCTGTTTCTTTACAGATGCAGTATTCCTTCATATATCAAGCCTTACTTGAATACTACCTCTATGGTGACACAGAACTGGATGTATCCTCCTTAGAAAAACACCTGCAGCCATCAAATAGCACCACACCAAATCTTGTTAAGATAGGATTGGAAGAAGAGTTTAAAGTAAGCCTTTAAAAATGTTATAAAATATGAAACAAAATACATTTTTAAAATGTAATTTGGTGATTGACCTAATACTTCTTTTTTAATACATTAATTATTTCCTCCTAAAATATTTGATTTTTTTTTTGCAATATCTGTCATGTTATTTATACCTAAAATATCAAGTTATGTAAAATTTTAAAATTAAAGTTTTTTTTATTTCTAGGCTTTTAATTTTTTTATTGAAACTAAGTGCTATGGAAATGAAAGCAGGATCATAAAGAAAATATTAAAACAAAAACCTCACCCAAGCAAATATTTGAAAAAGAAAAAAATGATTGGGAGTACATAAGTACATTTATAGTGTTAAGTATGAAAAAATAGTCATGTTCAAAAATTCCTGTCCAAAAAAAAACTTGTATTGGTGAAGGAAAAATTACTCTGTTAACATAACTAACAAATAGTATTTCAATAAAACATTCTTTTAGATTCTTATAGATGTGTGAATTTTTCAGCTGATGCTATTTCATTAAAAAAAAGAAAACAATTTTTCTTTCTCTCTCCACCCGCCAAAGTACCGTAACCAGTATAATATACCCTGTTTTCCCCAAAATAAGACATCCCCTGATAATAAGCCCAATCAGATTTTTGAGGGCATGACATTAAGGCCAAGCGTTTATTTCATGGTTCAAAAAAATATAAGACAGGGTCTTATTTTTGGGGAAACATGGTAACAAACTGGTCCTTAACTTCCCATACAGCTTATAGACCAATCAACACTAAGTAGACATTATATGGTGGATATTATGAGTTTTAAAATTTCCTTATATAGAAGTATATAACAAAGTTTCTGTGCAAATGTAATTATATGATACGTTGGTTTATCAAGCAGAATTTTTCAGAAGAAAATATGATTAAGACATTTTGGTTGAATTTGTTACTGTTCTCACATTGAGTTTTCATATTTTCATTTGTAGTCATTATCTAATTTTTACTTTTGTTTTAGAAATTAACAAATGTTCGAATAATGAAAGAAAACATGAGAACTGGTAATCTGCCAGCAAATATGAAGAAAGCCAGAGTTATCCAAATAATCCCTTGTAAGAAATTAAATTGCATATTCAAACAAATTGTATAATTTAATTGACAAAAACTTACCTAAGAGAATATTGTAATATTTTAGAAGCAACAGCAGGTGGCATTGCAAACTGAAATATAACTAAATTTTATAAAAGCCTGCTGACCATAATTTATGTTATTATTGATGATAAAATATTTAGAATTTTACAAAATCTACTTTTTTTTGTTCCCTAGATGACTTTAACAGAGTGATTCTTTCAATGAAACGAGGTCAGGAGTACACAGATTATATCAATGCTTCCTTTATAGATGTAAGTACTTTTCTGTACAGAAAATGCACATACTGTAAGAGATGTTAACATCTTTTCCAGAATATTTGTTTAAAATTTATCTAGAAAAGAGCATGACCTTCAGCATTACTATATGTTAATAACCTGTTAATTTTTTAAAAAGGAATCAGAGACTCATAATAACAATAAAAAATACCTTGTATTTAAAATATCAACATAAAGAAGCAAACATCTTTGCTTTTTTATTAGAACCAAGTTTAATTTACTTTTTACTGTGGCAGGATTTGTTTTATTTAATTGAGAATAGAAATAGATAACTTTCTTTGCTGCTGTCAAACTTTTTTCTATTTTGGTGAAAAATATGTTATTTCTTGGTGTTTCAACAATAGATGAATGTCCATTACACAGTATTGAACTCATATAGTGCATTATTGTCAAAGTTGCATATGTTAAGCTTCATAAAAGTGTATGATGCTCAGAGTGCTTTGACTGAAGCCACAGATATCTCCAAAATTTGCCATCTAATTGTATTGTTAATAGGACAAAACAAAATATTACAGACATGACTGAGAAATGATCATATTAACTATATTTAATTAATTTAAATACATGTAAATATACACGAGAGGAATCATTTACTGCCCTGGTCCCATCTATTCTATGATTCTGATCTCCTTCTCAAAGGTCAACTGTAGAAGAAGTAAACAATATCATTTCTTTGATTTTGACTTTTGTGAAACCAACCATTGTGTTTTGTAAACTGTGGTTTCCAACCATATCATCTAAATTTGGCCATTGTGGCTAGCTCAACAGACGATTGTGAGAAGAAGTTGCATGTTTTCTTGGTTTAGTGAAGTAGTCAACATAATGGTATTCCTCTCACATCCTCCTTTCAGATGAAAGAGAGCTCATTATTTATTAACTTAACAAACCCTTGCCTTCTCTGGTGCCACCCTCCAACATGTCTTCTTTTCAGTCATTGTAACTGACAAAATACAAAAACCTCAGTGAAGACTTGGGCTAAATTTGCTTAACTAATTTCTTTGATTTGTGGATCAGAGTGAATGGGACTGGGAAGGACCTTTAGAATTTTAAAGAAAGCATCTATTCGGATAGATCTATTTAATATAAAATTCCTTTCAAACGGGGGAGAATCTAGATAACAATTGTCAAAGGATGAAATATTTCTTTATGTCCAGGGTTATCGCCAAAAGGATTACTTCATTGCAACTCAAGGACCTCTTCCTCATACTGTGGAAGACTTCTGGCGAATGGTATGGGAGTGGAAATGCCACACCATCGTTATGCTTACAGAAGTTCTGGAAAGGGAGCAAGTATGAGCATTTTGTACTGTATCTTGTAAATATTTTGTTATTAATATTTTTTAAAAAACAGAACAAGAGTATGGGAAACTCATTATACATCATTAACATTGATCTGTAAAATGTAGTGTCTCAAAGGCCTAGCATGAATTTGTCCTAGCAAATGTTTTGCAATTCTGAGGCTGTGGAACTACAATTGATGATTTTGTTATTGACCAGGATTTTAACTGTTCAATAAATCATGAAATCTCCTGTGAAGGAGCAAAACTGGATACTCTTGAATTGCTGCTGAGGCAAACACTTGTCTATAGCAGTAGCAATAGCACGTAGACTTATATACCACTTCACAGTGCTTTGCAGCCCTCTCTAAGCAGTTTGCAGAATCAGCCTATTGCCCCCAATAATCTGGCTCCTCATTTTACTGACCTCGGAAGGATAGAAGGCTGAGTCAACCTTGATCCAGTGAGACTCGAACTGCTGGCAGCCGGCAATCAGCAGAATTAGCCTGCAATACTGCATTCTAACCACTGTGCTACCATGACTCTATCACAGACAGACAGATAGTTTGCAAAAGCTTGAACTACTTTACAATCACATGTTTTCAGAAAATGTAGAATTCTAATTATCATACCTTGTGCCATAGCCAAAGTCCCAAAAAAGTCATCATAATTCAGAGGAAGATACAATCAAATGACAGGAAATTCAGTGGGAATTAAATGTGATTCTGTGCTCAGATTTTATTATGTTTAACACTTGCAATTTCCTTATAGTAACAATGCTGTATATTTGGTGTTATATTAATTGGGATATCAGAACCAGTTTGGTATGATTCTTTTCATTACTCGGATTACATGGTACATATTGTTATGGTACAATATAAGTGGGTGGGGAAGATTGGAATTAATTTGTAAATCACCATTCCCAGACATAATTGACATAGCTTAGATAGCAATAAGAAATCTAAAAGCACCATTTTTTTTTCTGTTTCTAAATTTTACAGGAAAAATGTTTTCAGTATTGGCCATCAGAAGGTTCTGTTTCTTATGGCGATATTACCATTGATATTAAGAATGACTTGCTTGTTGATACTATAAGCATAAGGGACTTTTTGATTACACACAACCAGGTATTCTTCATAATTTCCCTACTTCTTAAACTTCAGGTTTTTTCTTACTGTTTCTTACTGTCTTAAATACATTTTACTTCATATTTAGCAGACTGGTCAATGTTTATGAATATCTTATTTTAACAAATGTATTCTATCAGGAATAAGCAAAGGAACAAATATCAGAACAGGGAAATTTTCACTGCTGAGAAATTTAATCCCACCCTTCTGTAATTGGCTAACAATGCAAGTTTCACAAGTTGACTTGGCTACAATTTGCAGACAAGAAAGAAGATGTATACTGCAGAACTCAGAAATCAAGTCATCTTTCATACATGCACATGCACTTACCACACATACATACATATATACACACTTATATGTATATAAGTACAGTATATACCATACACACACACACACACACACACACACACACACACACACACACACACACATATGTTTGTATGCATGGTGTGGCAGCACCAAGGTTTAAATTGTAAGCCTTTTCAAATCAACAGATCTGAATTATTGTTTCCTTGACCTGAAGTGTGCAATATATTTCTTTCATTTGATTCTATTCAATCCTTAAATTAATGAAGAACTTTTCTTCATCAATTTAGTGTTCAGATTACTGGAGAATGTTAAAAATGGAAACTCTGGGTACATATATATATTGTGTGTGTGTGTGCATATACCATATATATATGGTACCATGGTCCCGATACTCCCATGTTACACCCCTCCTGCGCGGTTTGCATTGGCTACCGGTTGCCCTCCGGGTGAGATTCAAGGTGCTGGTGTTGACCTATAAAGCCCTACATGGTTTAGGATCAGGATATTTGGCGGACCACCTACAGCCAGCAACAACATCCCATCGCCCGGTTCACGCCCATAGAGAGGGCCTACTCAGGGTGCCGTCGGCCTACTCAGTGGCGGCTGGCGGCCCCCAGGGGTAGAGCCTTCTCGGTTGGGGCGCCCACCCTCTGGAATCAACTCCCCTTGGAGCTCCGACTAGCGCCTGACCTTCGCACCTTCCGCCGGGAATTAAAAACTTGGCTTTTCAAATCCCTTGACCTGGTCTGATGACGGGGTTTTAAGGGTTTTAATGGGTTAATTTTAAATTTTTTAGATTTTAGTCTTTATTTTTATTGTGGCTTGTGTTTTATTGTTGTGAGCCGCCCTGAGTCCATTGTGAGATAGGGCGGCATATAAGCCGAATAAAATAAACATATACATATATATACATATACATATACATATACATATACATATACATATACACATATATATATATATATATATATATATATATATATATATATACACACACATATACATATATGTATATATATACATATACATATATGTATATGTATATATATATATATATATATATATATATATATATATATATATATATAGTATTTTAAATATATTTTCTAATATTACATTGGGCAGTTAAGAGGAAAAGGTAGCTGATATAAATTGCATAATTTTTGTCACTACTTATAAAAATGTTGCAATATGTAATAGACTCTGAAAGCTTTTATGAATCTATTTAAAAGTAAATCTTGCTATGTCTAATGGAATTACTCTCAGAAAAGCAGACGAGGCTTTGGTATTTAAAACTATTTCTTTCTGTTACTAAAATTATTTTAAACTTGTGGATTTCTCACTTCTGAATAACCAGGAGAAGCAAGGCAGAGTTATTCGACAGTTTCATTTTCATGGATGGCCTGAGATAGGCATTCCGACTGAAGGGAAAGGTATGATTGACCTCATCGCAGCTGTTCAGAAACAGCAACAGCAGACAGGAAACCATCCCATTACAGTACACTGCAGGTAAACACATTCTTACATTTTTTTCTCCTCATATATTCTTTTGCAGCTTTAAAGTTGAAAGCTAGCAAGGACTTTCGCTCTGTAGTAGAGGCAGTAGATACCTGAAAGAACATTTCACATTGAGAAAGCTTTCTTCCAGCTTACTTTATTTACAGCTGCAGGATAGGAAAGCAGGTTTTGGCCAATGATGAAGATGAGTATAATGGCAAGTGTATACACAAACTGATGATGCTTCAGATAATTTGGTCCCAAGCCCTAAAAGACTATGAGATAAAAATAACCATCAGTGAATTGGTCCTAAAAACTGACAAGAGGGTCAATGGACTTAACAAAAAAGCACAATGTAATGTAACTTTTGATCTGGTTCCTACTTTGTGAACAATGTATAATTTCCATTTTTTTCCCCAGAGGTGGTCTCACATGCACCATATTAAAACAGAGTAATCTGGCAGTTACTAGAGCATGGATAGCTGACCCCACAAGCTTCTATTGCTGGTCAGAAATGAAAGAAGTGAATTGTAGAAAAAGAGCTATCATGGTATATATCATGCTATCACAGCATGAAATGCACATGATGTGGTGATGTAGTACTACACAATTCTATAGTTGTCTTAACAGATGATTCCATAAAGGATTCTGTAGGGCATGAGCCCGGAGCACTTGGAACTCCAGATGAATTTAAAAAAATATGTTGTTAACAAATCTTTAACATCCCTTTACTTCTACTGGATAAATTGTTCAGATTCCTGAAGATGTGTTTCATTTAATCTTGTTCACTATAATTTATAATTCACGCTTTGCTTTAGGCTCATAAATTATCAATATTGAAATAAAGAATGGAAAAGATTTTTATTGTTAACAAAGTACTGTAATGTAACAGAATCTTGAAAGCTTGCCAAAGCAATTCTCCAGATCAGTTATAGCTAATGTAAATACAGTGGAGCTATTCTGAGCCTCTTTCTCATGCTTACGTTTCCCCTGGATGAAGGATTTCTATTTGTGAGAGTCTTCTTTCCCTCTCCATCTTCCTGGGATCTAGTAAACATTCCATCACAGCAGTTTACACAAGCTAAATTGAGACACAATTGCAGAAGTATATGAAAGTTGGCATTTTTTTCAAACTGCTCTGAAATATCCCAATGCCTAATTCTATATTGTTCTACAAAGTTGAAGAACACTCTGAATCAACACTGAAATAATCATTGTTTCCCCTTTTTTCAAGTGAAACTTCCTCTGGATCTTGGTGGATGGATAAATTTATTCCAGAGGAAACTTTGTTTATAAGGAAGTAACTACAACATCAACATTCATTCCCTGAATAGTTTTAAAGTTTAAATTTTTAAAAAGCTTATTTTTACAGTAACAGGAAGAAGGTTCTATAAAATCTATATACTGTTTGTATGACTTAAGCAAATCTGCAAAATGAACGCCATATCTGGTACTGCTGAAGAAGCAAAGAATTATAGAGGCTACTAAGCCTATTTATATTAGCAGAGGCTCAATTCTACATGTATGTTTTATTTTTCTGCATATGATAGGCCAACTTATTTGTATTTTTCTTGTAGCGCTGGAGCTGGAAGAACAGGCACATTCATAGCACTCAGCAATATTTTGGAACGAGTCAAAGCTGAGGGGCTCTTAGATGTATTTCAAGCTGTGAAGAGTTTACGGCTGCAAAGACCTCATATGGTGCAAACACTGGTATGTTGCTTCACCACAATTGTTAATATGGCACTAATATTTTGAGAGTAAAATAGAGGCTTTATCTATATTCATACAATAGAATTGGTTTGGTCAAGCATAGTGACTGTGGGCGTCAGTTGATGATGGCAACCATGACTGCAGGGATTGCAAAGCAATGCTGTCACACATTATGATCATATCATTTAGTGACGGAAATTCCCAATGGCGGTTGTGAGTTGAGGAGTATCTATATAAATTTACTTCAAAATTCCTTCCCAATGGTAAAAATACCCAGTTATAGAATGCCTAAGAGGTTATGTTAGGTCCCCTTATTTTCAGGTCCCCTTATTTTGCTGGCATGCTCTAAAAGAGCTGGAAACCACTTATGAATAAGAGCATAGGAAAAAAAGAGAAAGGCAAAAGATTAAAACATCTACTCAGTTTTTATTCTGGCCAGCAGCAAAAATTAGAACTGGTCTTTTGTTTGTTCTATGAAAACTTTTTCTAAAGTGAGTACTGCATTAATAGACTCAAATGTAGGTCAATAAACTGAAAATGCATTCATATTAATGAAAACTTACAAAAGTACCAGGATTCATTTCCCATTCAAATAGTTCTTCAAAGGAAATAATTGTTTTGTTCATTGTTTTACACATAGTAGTCTTAGTCTAGGCAGTGTCACTTGATAGATAATTGTGCTGAAACATGTAACAAAAAGTGAAAAACATTTTATCTGTATATTTTATCATGATTCTACAGTTCTGAAGTTAAATACGGTTCAACAGAGTTCAAACATAATAATGTCTCTTTTTTGCACCTGCAGGAACAGTATGAATTCTGCTACAAAGTGGTACAAGATTTCATTGATATATTTTCTGATTATGCCAATTTCAAGTGAAAACACCTGCCATTTTTTTTATTTAATCATCTGTACAAAGATTTGTAAATCATGTTAATTTATTTCCATTTTTTTTTAAAAAAAAAATCTAAATGTACATATGATTATGTATGTTTTGCTTTGAATGTCTCTTTAGGTGTATGTATGATTCAAATAAGCTTCAACCCTGATCCAAAGGAGTATGCACAGACTCTTTTCATACAATAAAATAAACTTCTAGTCAGCTGTTTGGTGGCAAAAGGAAAAAGCTGATTTATGGGATTTGTATAGTTTTGAAAGGACTTAATATATTCACCCCAGCTGGTTGATAAAGGAGGAAAGTGGTATACACAGAATATAATTGCATGTTGGACTACTCATTCAGCTGAAGAAATATGTGCAAAAAACTGTGTCTGCATGTGTAACAACCCTATCTAGGTCATTGCTTTGTGTTTTTGTTGCGTTTAATTTTAAATAACTGAGGCCCATGTACAATATAGTGCAGTATATACTGTTGTGAATACAGGCACAATTCAGCCTATGTTAGGCATATTTAAGACTCACTGATTTCAGTGGGTTTAATAAGCATATGCTTAAATATTTCCCATTGAAATTAATGGGATTTTGAGTCCAGCTAAATGTTCAAAAGCACTGATTCTGAAATTAAACAGATCAGTGGCTTGGATGACAGCCCACTGATCACTCTGAGCCCATGTAAGAGCAAAATATATTAATAGAACTCCAAATCTCCTTAATTTTGGCTGAATCTTTCCCATATTTTGCCTAAATACATGAAAAATTGTGATTCATTATCTCTAATCTTAAATTTGAAATTATATATTTTTAATTTATTGTATATAGTCCCTATTATTTATATAAAAATAATAAGGAAAAGAGTACATTTTTAGAGCTAAAAAAATCATCTTGCTATTATTGAGCAATATTTTATTTAAAGCAAGCATCATTTAATGACTACACCACAAAGATATTATACCATCCAGACTGAAAGGAATGTGGGCTTTCTACAATAGACAGAAAAGTTCTTGAGTCTTCATTTCAATAAGATTTACATCTGTTTCTTATTTTCTTATGTTGATGCTATTGTGATCATTAACATATTTGATCCTGATACAACATCACTAATATTAATGTGGAAAATTCACTGAAGTAGATAATATACAAAGTGTGCTAGAATATGAAAATATTCGAAATATTTATTTTTATTTTATCAATACCAATTAGAATCATTTGCCTTTTTGGTACTGTTTTGATCTTTATAGTTAAGCACAACTAGAATAGAGAGGAACACAAATCTTCCATAAGCAACAACATAAGATATCATTTTAACTTTTTAAAAAATGTATATTTTTAAAAATAGGACTCTAGGAAATTCTGTTTTAATGCAAGTTCTCAATTAATACCATAGTGTAAATATGGATTTCTTAAATTTACTTAAGTAGTATTAAAATATAATTTTATCATTTTATTGCATTAAGAGAAAATATATTTAATTTATAAACTAGCTGATCAATATTTGATACTATTTTGTATCAAGAAATTTTGTTTTGTTGTCATAAATAGCTATAAAGCCAGATACTACAGTTATATAAAGAAAAAATGTATCTCTTTAGTAAGCAATCTAAATTAATTCATCACTTGCATCACCTTTAGTAGAAGGTAATAAAACTTAATAAATAGCTATCATTTTTAAACCTAGTTGAATGTCAAATATTCAATATTCAATTCACAGTAAAGCCCTTAATTATTTGAGTTATTTTGATACACAAGGCACATAAAAAATAATGATTCCCTGCACTGTATTCCCAAATATCCAGTTGCTCCTTCTCTCCAGAGTGCACATTTAGTTCCAAAATGAGCAAAGGTCTTTTTTCTATTGTAATGTGGCCTACATGAATCTAGAACTTAGAAGCCAGATACCAGAATACCTATAGGTGTTCTGGTTGAGCTATTCATGTGCAAACACTCATGTACTAAAAAGCACAAAACCCAATCATCTTGATAGTACTTGTATAGAAGTTGCACCATATAGTTCTATCTTATGGGCTGCTGCAAGATTTCAAAGTTCTTACAACAGAAGAAACATTTTCTTGATACCAGCACAGACAAACAATAAAAACAAAATAGCATAAACCTGGATTCACGTATGATTAACTCCATTGTTTTCAGGAAATAGCAGAAGCTGCTACAAGAAGAAAGAGGATAAATTATTTTTATACTCTTTATCTTATAGTTTTTCACCCCCTCCATTCCCCATACATTTTTAAAATTATTCTGGAACAATGTAGGGAATAGTATAAGAATAAATATGGAAATATTCTTAGAAAAGTCCACCCATTCCTTCCTCTGTGGAGCAACTGATAAAAAACTTTGCTCTGCAGAAATATGGATCATACCTAAAGTCTGAACAAAACTAGGATGACAGTGAAGTAACAAAATAGACAGAACATTTTATTTCCCCATATTTTAAAAGGTATATATCTAAAAGCACAAACATAATTTATATAAATTTATATACAAATGTCTATAGAATATGCAATATATCTGGCTTGCCTGGTTGTTTTATGAATTATAAATGCCTTATTAAAATTATGTAGACTGCAAAATGGTCTTTCTACTTTAGATGTTGTTCTTTTTAATTCTACATACATTTAAATTGTTTCTGAAAGGAGAAGAAAAATTAATACTTATTAACCCAGAAGATAACACAATTTCCATATCAGGCCAATTACTTTTAATTGCTAAACTATTTTATGTTAGCAACTTAGATATTGTTTTTAAGGACAACTGTTTACATCTTCTGGGGAAAAAATCCTATGTACATACAATTGTATGCACATAGGGAATCATTTTATGAAGTGACTGATATTAACAATTCTAACCTCAAAAAAATGTTATGTTAAGAAATATTGAGTAAACTTTCTATATTAGAAAATTCTGATAGAATTTTTAAAAACTTTAGAAAAATAAATTTTCCAATTTGATATAGACAAAAATCCATTGAGTCCAAAAGTTGAACAATTTCCATAAACTGCTTTGGAAAATGCTGCTAGCAACCTTAGAAATATCAAACATTTTCTACATGAGTTAAGTAGAAATTAACCCTGGCAATTTTTTGTCCCAGCTGTTTTTCTATAAAAGGGTCATTTTATATAGATTGTGGATGGGATGCGGACCTGAGATTAACATCAGAAATTATTTTAAGCATCTTGAAATTTTGAACAAAATACATGTCTTTCATCTGTCTTGATTCCTCAGTTCCTTCCTAAGGATCTATCCAAATACAGTAGCAACTTTGCACTTTATATAAAACAATCACTAGTTTAATCCATATCCCTAGATAAATCCAGGGTACTACAACTGGCTGATGTTTATTCATCCATGCCCATAACAGTGAGGGGTGTCTGGTGGTCTCTGAGCTTGGTTGTTTTTGGGCAGACGCTTCATTACCCAAACTAGGTAACAACATCAGTGCTAGTAAGGGAGCCTTACTCTTACTAGTGCAGATGATACCTAATTTAAGTAATGAAACAGCTGCAAGAAAACAACCATGCTCAGAGAGCACCAAAGACCCCTCATTCCAACCTGAGCTACAATATTCTTCTTTATCGGTACCATACCAGTGAGTTCTTGCTGCTTACTATATAAACTGGCACCACCCAGATGTATAGTACTTTATCTCCTACTCAAAGATTAATGATTGTATCATTGTTGGAAAAATTATGGGACTCCAACACATTTGGAGGAAACTACATTTGGAAAGTTCTGTAAAGTAACTGCACCTATGTGAATCACTTAAGGGATAGCATTACACATTGTATTTAAATTACCCATCAAAAACCAAGAAAAATCCTGCTTGTTGTAGACATATGCTTCAATGTTAAAAACAAAACAAAACAGAACTGTTATTCTATAAAATAATAGAGAAACAAAACCTGTCAAAAATGCACATAAGGTCCATGAATGAAAAGGACTGATTTCAACTGAGCAGACTGTAGTTTAGGATTCAACTGTGGAGTCCTTGATGCTGTCTGAATTTAGTTGTGTGCTTGATGATGTTTCATTCTTTGACCACGTAGATAACATCTTCAGTGCTAGAAGGGAGTGGAGTTTCCCTGTTATACTGTTTACAGTAGCTTACCCAATCAGTGTTGGTAGGATTTTTCTTTTCTTTTCTTGTAGTTCTTTGATTAGGCTGTTTGCTGACTGAATTGGTAGTTCCTTGATTAGGGTATTTTTTTTTATTGCTTGATTGTTTATCTGGTTTTAATCCTGGTGTTTTCCTTGCTGATTGCTACTGAACTGTTCTGGTCTTTTTGTTTCTTTTTTATTGTCTCTTTTGAATGGCAGGAAAACTACTGTATATAAGTAGAGAGCAAACCTCACTTATTCTAGAACTGAAGATGTTATCTAATCAGGTAACAAAACATCTGCAAGCAAACAGTTAAGCTATGAGAAATTCAGAAACCTGAATACTTGGAATTGGTGCAATATAACTAGTAATTCAAAATATAAATCAAAATAATCTTCTCCTAACATAACATTTCTTCTACAATAGCTGATTTTAAATAATTATGTTGGATTCTAGGAGAAAAAAACCCAAATATACTATACAGTATATTTGGTTCTGTGTAATTCCATTTGATGCCAATATTTGTTCTGTGTATAAAAAATTTAATTCTGAATCTAACAATACAGGTAGTCCTAGACTTACAACCACAATTGAGCCCAACATTTCTGTTGTTAAGTGAGACATTTGTTAAATGAGTTTTGGCTCATTTACGACCATTCTTGCCAAAGTTGTTAAGTGAATCACTGCAGTTGTTAAGTTAGTAGTAAGGTTATTAAATGAATCTGTCTTCCCCATTGACTATGCTTGTCAGAAGGTTGCAAAAGATGATCACATGATTGCAAGAGACTGTAATCATCATAAATATGAACCAGTTGCCAAGTGTCTAAATTTTGATCACATGACCACGGGGATGCTGCAACGGTTGTAAATATGAAAAATGGTCATAAGTCACTTTTTTCAGTGCCATTGTAACTTTGAACTGTGACTAAACAAATTGTTGTAAGTCCAGGACTACCAGTAATAGAAAGGTTACAGGGTTGAAGATTGAAGCATTAGAGAATTTAATTTGGGGTTCAGAAATTTTTAATCAGATCAGGCTACTTATTATACTTTATATAGCATACAATATTTTTCATGCTTTGTTTTACACTGAATGAAACATCATTAATAAATGCCAAATAAAGATTAGAAATTATATATTCTGATCTGCATAACAGTCACTATGTGATTGACTTTGTCTTATGCAGTAATAGACACTGATTACCAAAGTTTTAAGTTCCGGTTTAACTTGGAACACGTGAACAACTAGAAATATTAAAGCCATTTAATTCAAACTATGTTTCTAGAAAAATCCTGCATTCATCAACAATATATCAGAAGTTCATTAAGGAGAAAATTATTAACTAAGCAATTAGCTAACCAAAATAAAAGATTATAAATTGCTTTTTATATTCCCTTTCAATGCAAAACACAGGAGTTAGACATATTCTACATATGCCTGGGATGAGGGATGGGCAGTCTTGACTAACAGCTGCTATTTAGAAAACTGCTGAATAGCTCTCATAACACACATCTGTATGTAAACATGTTGGCATGATGCCAAAGGGACCCAGTTTTGAGCTACTACTTGGTTGCTTACAGATGTGCTTCAGATAAATATTGCCATGGGATTTGTACCAGTCAACTACTAAATTAATTGAAGATTAAATTAGTCCGGATACTGTTGTGAGACTTGGATAGCCTAAATCTGTATTTGCCCTGCCTGTCCTCTTCCATTTTCCTATATAAAGGCGACTGTGCTTGGTAAGAGGTAGTTATGAGCTAACTACCTAAAGAGCTGCAGTGGCACAATGTTAGAATGCAGTACTGCAGGCTATTTCTGCTGGCTGCCTGCAATTTAGCAGTTAAAATCTCACCAGGCTCAAGGTTGACTCAGCCTTCCATCCTTCTGAGGTCAGTAAAATGAGGACCCAGATTGTTGGGGGCAATATGTTGACTCTGAAAACTGCTTAGAGAGGGCTGTAAAGCACTGTGAAGCTGTATATAAGTCTAAATGCTATTGCTATTGTTAACTAGTCTCTTAGAGACAGCCCAACTCAGAGTTCACTTTAGCCAGTCAATTAATCTTTGATGCAGAAAAGTTAAACAAGCACATGTTTTCTCTTTAAGAAAGAAACTCTATTGGGTATTATTCCAAGTCACACTAGAAATGGTTTATGAAGAAGAAAGAGGATCAGTCTGGTGCATTGGCTAAGGCACCTAGCTAGAGACTGTGAATTCTAGGCCCATCTTAGGCAAAAAGCCAACTGCATGACTTTGGGCCAGTCACTTTCATACCTAGGAAGAACACAGTAGCAAACCACTTCCAAAAGATGTTGCCAAGAAAACTACAGGGAATCAAGAATGAATGGAAGGCACCCTCCCCCACTCCAAAAAAGAAGGAAAAGGTTCTGTTGAATACTTTTGTCTTAAGGATAGCTTTGGCGCTTTGGCCTCTATTCCTAGCAGTCTCTGAGAGATTTTAAGTTCTTGCACTGATGGACATTTAATCTCTCTTCATAACTTTATCCTGAATTTGCAAAGGTTGCAGATTAATTTTTGAGTATCTCCATTATGCACTAGGTCTTATTTGGAGTAACGCCGGGAAAGGATTGGTAGAGCTATATGCAGGTATTTTTCGAAGTATAGGTAAAGTAAACAATTTGGTGAGGACCATGGAAGTGTAAGCAAGTGCTACAGTATGCCTGCTTACCATATTGTAAGTGTATTTATCATCCTATCCAAAACTACATCTACAGCTTGTGAGTTGGATTATGACCAACATTGCAGAAAGTACTCAAAGCACATAAAATAGGCTTGCTTATCGCAGCATTTCAAATCACTGCATAACGCAAATGCATTTGGAAGCAGCCAAGTGCTTGAGGAAGTTGAAAATCATACATGCATATCAATTATATCATCATAGCTCTTCTGAACTGCAGTGAAATACCTGGATGGGGCTTTTCTATTTTTTGTGCTTGATGAGAATGTTTCACAATAATTACGTGTATCTATGGTTCTTTTATATTTATCTACAAGCCTACTGCCATCTGTGACACACAGCCCAGAAAATTCAGAGGACAGCCTTGGTTCAGTGGTATACATGCTTTATATAGGCTCATATCTACAGTAACCATTAGAAACTAACGTGAAAAAAGATTCTTGTTAATGGTTTCAAATACACTTAATACTTGAATTATAAAGGCTCTAAAGAAGAATGCCTATCATATCGATCATTTTGAAAAGGATGTTTATGAATCTGTTTTAAAAAGAGTTTGAATCTTTGTTCCAGGAGTTTGAAATGTTTACTTTAGGCATTGTAATTTGTAATGTATTGCTACTGAACCTTTTTTATGTACATGCTAAACCCTATTTAATTTATGTCAAGGACGTTTTATGTATGTAATATAGTGATATTTTCTTTTATTACATTTATAATTTGATCTCGCTGTACAGTATTTATAATTCCAGTGAATGTTGCTGAATTATTTGTATATGCAGACCGCAAATCTAATAATTCCAATGCAAGAACAAAGGCTTCATTTTATTTTCAGGCTGTATTTCTTTCCTTAAATCTCTTAATTTAATTCCTCTCCTGTTTGCTCATTTAAACTAAATATTGCAATTTTATAAAGAATGTAAAACCCCTTATTTAAATTACTTTGCCAAACTGTTCAAATTCTGGTTATTTTACACAGACCTCTATTCTGACAAAAGAAAGAGTGTTAAATGAAGCACTTTAGGTATAATATTTAATGTAAAATGGTAGTTGAATAATTCATTCAGAACACACATACTTATTCTAAATCTGAATAAAAGTAATCATTTTTCTTAGTTATCCCAGTGGATTATGCAAATGCTAATGTAATCTTTCTGGGCAGTGTTGGTTTTTTTTTTTTTTTTTTACAACAAACACCACACACCTAATGTTCCTCTAATGTTCCACTTATTTAAAATCCACAGCAGAATTCTACATATGGTCTTTTTTCCTGAAACAGTTGACCATTACACATTTTAAAGCACTACTGTAAACTGCCCTGGGTGTTGCATCAACAGAAAGAGGGAAATCTAACTTGAATAAATAAATAATTCCTTGATTTTTGAGTTGATTTTATTTAGTGACAGACGTGTACAAAAAGCTGCCATTTAAGTTTTCAGCTTGTTTTTGTTTTGGTTTTTTTATCCCATTACTTGATTTCACCAAAACAGAGACCGGGGATTTATCCCCTTTTATTTAGCAAAGGATAGGCCTGATTCTCTTTGCCCTATCTCTGTTTGTGGGCCAAAGGCTCTCCATTCCTGTTGCAAATCATTTTTGATCGCCCCTCCTTGCAGCATTTTCAGTAACACTACAATCAAGCACTTAGTATTTCACTTGCAAACAGGCAGCCAGTGCAGTGCTTTTAATACAATACATTGTTCTTCCAGAGACAACGTGGTCCTAGGTTATGCACTAACTGTGATTTCTGGATGAGACCTTTCCCCATGTACTGTATTACTATAATCAAACTTGGAGTTTACCAACACTTGTACCATAGAATTTAGGGTCATTTTCTTCCAGGGAGAAACATAGTTAATTTATCAGCCAAAGTTGTAAAAAAAAAAAAAGTGCTTCTGGCCATTGTCTTGGGTTGGGAGATTCAGAAACATCCCCCAAACTGTATATCTGCTTTTCCTGGGACAGCATAAACCTATTCAGAACAGGAAGCTTTCTACTAGCTTTTTCGAACGGTAATCCTCCTTGCAAACACCTCTGCTTGGATTTTAATGCACTATAATTTATACTGTCGTGTGGTCATAGGCTTTCATTTCAAAAAGCATTGCATTACTATATACTACTAGTGTCACTATGTAATAGCTCTCTTTCTGAAAAACAACTATCCTTAACACCATCTCAAATCTGTTTGAGAGAAAAGGAAGCAAGCGGAATCTCTTATTTGTAAATCACTCTAGAGATTCAGAAGGATGTGTCATAGTTGATAATGTCAAAAGACACCAGTTTGAAATGACTCAAGCTATAATGTTTCCTGCTTTCTCCAGATTGCTTGTTGAAGTGAAGCTCCCATACTTTTGATTGTTTTATCTAATTATGGTAAATTACAATGGCTTGCCTAAGAGATCTGAAACTCTCCAAGTTTTAGAAGAGTTTCAATCATTGCTTCCTTTAAACAAAAATCTTCAAAAAAATTGTAATATTATGATACTTATAATAACTTCCAAACTAGAATTAACAAGCCACATTGGGCAAGGAGTGAGGACCTCTGGTCAAATGTGGCTTCCCAAGCAGCTGATCCACTTCGTTGGGAGGAAATTATAAGGTATGTGTATAAGATTTTTTTCTGAGAAGTAATGTTATGAATCTTAGTTTGAAACCCTGACAGCCAGTTTGATATAGTGGTTAAGGCACCATACTATGAGTCTAGTCTCACCTTAGACACCTTGGGCCAATCACTCTCAGTCCTAACAAGCAATGACAAAACACTTCTGAAATATTGCCAAGAAAACTGACATTGCCCCCCCAAGAGCAGTCTTAATTAAATGATTGTTAACTATGACATAGTTCAAAAAGGTACATCACTCCATTATGGTTTACACCTACAGAACAGAATGATGGAATTATCCAAACTTTAGGTATTCAATGAATGAAATCTTATATGATAGAAATGATTGGGTTTGTTAATTTTAAATGTTACTTACTTTGCCCACAAATGAGTTATAATTTATTTTCAAAACAAATATGTCAGCAGTAACTTCTCCAGTAGGATATGATATATTAAAGTTAATTGGATTCTTTAAGTGAGTATATATTTGAAAACTCTAATTACTACAAAAAATCTCAGTCTGGGAATTTTCAAGCACTTAAGTATATAATTTTCTTACACTTCTGTTGGGAGAATGTTTCTTAAAAATCAATGGCATTTACTTCTGAGGAGATAGGCAGAGAGCTTTACAACATGCTTGTGTTGTAAAATTATTTTTTTCCCATTTGGGAGAATTAGTTTGAACACTGAGTATGCATTAACTCTGATCCCTACTGCATCATTCATGTGAAGATCAGGGAGATTAGAAGGAAAACTGCTTCTTTGAGCCTACTGAAGCATTCACCCTTGAAAATGACTTATGATTTAGATCAGTGTTTCTTAACTTCAACACCTTTAAGAAGTGTGATCTTGTGGAATTTGTGAACAGTTTGTGAAGTTGAAATCCACCCATCTTAAAAGCTGAGGTTGAGAAACATTGTATTAGGATTTTTTCTTTCACACTCACTCTCTCGCATACACAATAAATAGCAGGAAGTGATATCAAATGAGGAAGGCAAATGTTCCCCAAATGTGAATTGAAGTTAAGCAACAGGAGAAATTGAGGCAGTATAGAAGCAGAGAGCCCATTACCAACAGCAAAAGAAATGTCGGATAAACTTGGTTTGGAATCCTACTACCTTTGTCTAACTGAGGAAGCCTACCGAAAACAAAAGTTTGCAGCTCAAATGAAAACTTACTTCCAGAAATGCACAAGAATGCAATATCCCAGAGGTCACAAGAGAAAAGAGAAAATAACCCACATTCAATTGTTAGGAGAATTTCTGGGTTCCTTGTGAGCTAAGAAATGCAAAGGCTGGCTGCTTTTGGAAAGGAGGATGCTTTATTATTATTCCAAAAACAATATAAGGTTTGTTTTTGGAGGCAGCAGACCACAGATTGGCACATCAGTAAGGTTTTTATATCATTTTGAGCCCTTTGTGTAAGACATGAGATCACAAGAGTGAGTTTTCTGGCCACAGAGAAAAAGGAAACACGGGATACTTTTATGGCCAGAGAAACTTAGAAAATATTTTGTCTCTTATCTCCTTCATTAGGAAGGATCTTCCTGGCCAGGCAGCAGTATTAAATTTCAAAGGTTTTTAAATATTGATTGGCTCCAGCACCAGATTCCTGCCTGTCAGTGATTTATTGCCTTTAAGGAAACATTGCATTTTGTGAGAGATGGGCTTCTCTGACCTCAGATCAGAAGGTTGTTAAAAGAAGGGGGGGAGCAAATCAAAAGCTTTTTGATTTCTATCACAAGCATAAGACTCCAGATAGAGAACAGAATACATACCTGATTTTTAAAATTTTATTTGATATGCTAATATATAGCGCTGTGAGAGATTATTACTGTATATAAACTTTCTGATATTTTTATTTGCTACAATGCCATCTCCTTTTTAAAGATATTACTTGGAAGAACTTTAAATCTCAATGCAATCTTTATATAGAATCCATTCATAAATGTATGCAAATATTTTCTCTCGTGATTAGACTTCTTCATTCTTATAAGTACAAAAATGTAAATATGAAATAGAGAAGGCGTGCCAGCAAACTTGCATAAAAATGTTAATTATTGGAGTCTCAGAAGAAGGAACTATTGTTTACATTAATATATTTATAATTAATATTCATATCTTTGATACTAGATTTAATCCTGCCTGTCATTCATGAAATCAAGGTTCAATCAGGAAATCAAGGTTGTGCACATAGCATTTGTTTCTCACAAGATTTTATTTTCCTCACGAGAACCCATGAGGTCATCTGGCCTGAGATTGGCTATCTCAGAGTGATAGAATAAGCTTCCAAGGATGGGAATGGATATGAATTTGGGTCTCTCTAGTCCAATATTTGAACTATACCATACTGCCTAGCTATCCTCATTAAAAAGAATGCCACTCATATTGAATTCTATTCTTTTTTAAAAAATATATGGTAAACAATGTTGACAATATTTGGAAGTCAATTCACTACTCTCTAGGCCAAAGAAATCAGTTTGTAAGAATGTATATAAATATTTTTGTTTTGATGTGATAACACTACAATTAACTTATCCCATAGATGTAGAAAAACTTTGAGTGTTTCATTTTGCATACTATTTGAATGCATAATTCAAACTTGCTATGTATAGCCAAAGTGATTCTGTCCAATAACATCTTCTGTTATGAATGACACACAGAGGTAAAACCTGACAGGTACCTCTTTGCCTTTGAATACTATATTTACTCTTTCTTCAAAAATAATTAGAAAATAAATTGAATTTATTTATTGTCCAAGTCCAAACACAATTAAAAGACTGAGAATACAATACCTGTAAAAAGGAAGTGAGAAAAGGGCAAGAAAATCCTAAAACAACAGTTAATAAGTGAGGAAGCAAACAGTTATAGCTAATAGATAGGAATTTTGAAGTCGTCTTAGTGGGAGCTCCTGGTTAAAATGGCAATTAGAGCTGTTAATTGGAAGCATTGAGCTTGATCATCTTTGGTCATACAGTTTTATTAACACGTCTGAGTAAATTTTTAATCTCCAAGTCTGAAAGAAAAGTAGTACAATTTTCATGTAAGAAATTCATATATGTAAATCCAAAACAAAAGTTTCCCATGTGTTCATATGTAAGATGTTAAAACAGTACACATTTGATTTATCATAATTTTATAGCTGTCCAACTCACAAAAATACAGAATGACTGGGTACTGTACTAAAAGGGGGAAAATGTGTTAAAAACAAAAATAAAAACTACAAATACTATAACAAAAGCACAAAAGAAAGAAATGACTTTAACGGCAGTCAGCGAACCATTGCAAGATTTCTTGGAATTCCAGACCTGACAGCATAGTAGGGTTTTAAGAGACTTCTGAATGTTGAAAGGGCTGGAAATAACCTCTCTTCCAGGGAAGAAAATTGCATAATGTGGACTTCACCCCTTGGCAAAGAAGCTCACCCAGAGGCCTCATGCAGACATTAAATAGAAGATAAGAGAGTACCAAATCCTGCAGTTCCCCACATAGATGGGCCAAAGGCAGCATCTATTCTCCCCAACTACTACCAACTGAAATCAGTGCTGAGAAAGGGGAAGAAACATGGAGGGAAGAGTAACAATTGTGCTATAAAAGCAATAATCTAGAGTTGTGATGACGAACCTATGGCATGCGTGCCAGAGGTGACACACAGCGCCCTCTCTGTGGGCACACGAGCCATTGTCCCAGTTCAGCTCTGCCGTGCATGCATGCAGGCCTCCCGCTGACCAGCAGGTCTTTGGGTCACTGCCATGCATGCACGGGGGAGGGGGGGCAGGGTGTGTGCGGGTAACCACGAGCACATGAGTAGGGGGAATGGGGCACATGAGGGGGCACGTGCGCATGTGCAGAGGCAAGCAGGGGGGGTCACATGCATGGGAGTTCGTGTGCATTGCATTTTGGGGGTTCAGCCGCGCTTTGGGCACTCAGTCCAGAAAAGGTTAGCCATCACTGATCTAGAGACTATAAAATTAGACTTTGAAGAAATCCATTTCCTCCTTTGCTGTAAATACCACCTCCCATGATATTTAGTTTGTGATTTCACCATAGGATACCCATTCTAGGAAAATGTTATCTAGTTACCATGGGACTGGAAAAGACCAAAAGGGCTCCTTTAAATGTATTAATAGGAATACCTACGACGAGGATATTTTGAAACTCAGCTACACTAAAACTTACAGTAGCACTGGCATTTTTTAAAAAATACAATTGGTGCTCAAAAACTACTTTGTTTTCACTATCTAAAATGTAAACGTGGGGGCGCCAATACTCAGTATTATGCAATCCGGATAATATCTCTCTTTACTAATTGCTTCAGGGAATTTTTGTGGAGCATTCTTAACAAAAAAAGGAATAGATTGCCACAATATGGAGTCTCTCGTTCAAAATAGTAAAAGTGTAACGCTACGCAGGTAAAGGAAAAAAAACCCCACTCAAGTCTATCCTACGGTATGTTTAAAAATTGAAGTCCGTCCGGACTCCTTCCCTATTGGATTACTTGTGCACTGACATCACTATACATTGACCAATCAGAGTCTGCCGACCGCTTTTGAAAAAACCAAATTCACAGGTGGTGATAGAAGTGCGATGCTTGCGCTTAAGCTCCAGGGCTGACCAAGGTCTGGATCTGCAAACGAGCGCGCGAGGATTCAGGTAATGCGTCCCCTCACAGAGAGGAAGGGAGAATTAACTGTCGGCCGCCCGGCGCAGTCTTGAGCGTCGGCGGAAGGATACACGTGAGGCTGCAGCGACCTCAGAGGGCGGGGGAGGAGTTGGCCGGTTTGAATGAGCGGAAAGGGACACTTGGCGCGCGCGCGTGGTGATGCGGCCTCTGAGGCGAGAGGGGGTCCGGGTGTGCCGTTGACGGGGAACGCGCGGGGCAGGTGAGGGGCTCTTGTCCGGGTGAGAACGGCGCCAGTGCGAGGGAGGCTGTTGTCCGCGGTGGTGCTCAGGTTGGAGGGCAGTGGAAATAGACTGACGGGTGCAGGATATTTAAAGAAAGGGGGGGGGATAGTTGGTTCCTTGGTTTGTTTAGCGGAGCTTAGCTCGCACGTGGCGATTTAAATTGTTTCTTTTTAGCTTGTACGTTAGGAAAAGTAAATCTTTTTCTTAGATACAGTCCAACATCTGCAGATGCCCAGTTCCATGGCCCATGGACGGGGCATCTGCAGACCTTAAGACTGTATCTAAGAAAAAGATTTATTTATTTATTTTGCTAACGTACGATCTAAAAAAGATAATTTAAATCGTGGCTTGAGACGAAAGCAGAAGAGGAACAACAAATGAACGAACTGGTTTTGTGCCTTTTGAGATTAATGGCAGTTATTCTTACTGTTCTTTGAATCATTCTGTTCGGTGAGCGCTGCATTAGGAGGAGACGAGGTTTTGATGTAGGACAGTTTCTGTGATCTGGTATACGATTATTATGAAATTCTCCAGCAGAAATCGGCACCATAGCTTACAGAATGCCAGATGTAGCTTTAAACGGCTTTATCCTGGCTAGGGGTCTATTAAATCATAAAAACCTAATTTCCAATTAGCATTTCCAAGCTGAAACTGCCTGATTTCATATTCTAAGCTTAGTTTAATTTGCCTATATTGTAGAAAGTTTTACCCGGTCCTAATGCCGGTTTTATATCAACTCCGCATAAAATAAAACGACTAAGGATGTTTCAGGTGTTGCATTTGGCTTGTGAGTAAACAAGACATCTTTTTATATTTCTTGCTATGGAGAATTTAGAGCAACCTTCAGTTTATGGGTAAATGTGATGTTGTCTCCTTCAAAGTACATTTTCATGGTTCCCCGTTCCCCCCCATAGTCTAAATATGGAAAATGAAAAGTGCTGTTTATCCATTTTTAATATTGCTAATGAGGTTGATAGAGGTTTTGTTCTGAAAATAAAGCTACATGCTTGCTTTTGTACATTTTGGCAGGCCAGAAGATCCAACAAAAAAATGGCTTGGAACCCTGACACATTTGTTAACAAATTGCATATATTGCTTTATCCTCAATTCAAGACAGTTATGCCGAATTGAATCTGAATTGATTTTTTTTACATTTGAAAGCTTGCATGGATGTCAGTGCTATAATACAAGAAACAGGACTGTATTGCAAGAGAGAAGGAATTCTTCCAACTATTCTTAAGCTCTGTCAGTGTAATTTAAATTGCTTTTTGCTGGGCTGTGTGTGGCTGTTGTGTTGAACATTTTAAACTTTCTTCCAAGTTGCCTATTTTTAAAAATCAAATTAAAACAAAAGTTTTATTAGAATGGAAGTGTATTCAGCAGTAGTATCTGATCTACTGGTAAAGTCATAGCAGGGAGGCTTGTTTTAAGTTCACATTATTTGCTATGATGGAAAAATAAAATGTTTCTAGTGTTTATTTGCTTAGAATATTTATGACATTGAGGTTTTGTTCCAGTGGACTACACATAGAAATATTAGGGTAAAATTTTTCTGTGTTTTAATTTTTCATACATGATGCAACTCTTGCAATTTCTTTCACAGTAGGAATATTTTCTGGCATAAAATGCTAAATTCTAGTCATTTCATAAATACATAATACATAATATAAACATGTTTTGAAATAAATTTGTTGTTTATGCCTTGATATAACCCTGTGGAAAACTAAAAACATAGACTGGGGAATGGTTGTGGGAGAGGGAGACAGCAATATTGATAATGGATTACTAACTTTAGATCTGCATGTTCCTTCTATTCATTCTTTGTTCAGTAGATTGCAAGAAATTTGGATAACATTTGAAGATGATACTTCAAATGATATTTGAAGGGCATCCACATCAGTAGGAACCAAGAATATGCAGAGTATAAAGTCACCTAAGATTAGCTATTATAGAATATTTTTTGCATTTTTGAATGTGCTTGAAGAAGTCTTCATGAGCAAAAGAATGCGAAAGTAAGTAATGCAGAGTGTAAAGATAGATTAATGATAACACTGAAATCAAATGCTCCCAACAACTAACGACACTCTGCTTTTCAAATGACTTAAAAGTCAAAAAATTCACAATTGTTACGCCAGTATTTAGCAACAATAAGAGCATGTGTTTCACAATGTTCTATTTATTTATTCAATCAGTTTGTATATCACTCAGTTCTGAATACTCAAAAAGTTTTCCTAAAGCTGAAAAGGAACAAGGCTAAGTGAATCTCTGCTAGGAGGGAATACCTGGAGTCATAAGATTACTGAAAATACCAGCTTCCAAAGCTTTATTAGGTATACACAGATTAACAGTTGGAAGGGACTTTATAGGTCATTTAGTCCAACCCCCGCTCAAGGAGGAGACCCTACACTATTTCTGACAAGTGGCAGTTCAATCTTTTGAAAGTCTCAAGTGATGAAGCTCCCACAACTTCTGAAGGCAAGCTGTTCCATTGGTTGATTGTTCTCACTGTCAGAAAGTTCCTCCTCATTTCTAGGTTGAATCTTTCCTTGGTCAGTTTCCATCCATTATTCCTTGTCTGGCCTTCAGATGCTTTGGAAAACAGCTTGACCCCCTCCTCTCTGTGACAGCCCCTCAAATATTGGAAGACGGCTATCATGTCTCCCTGATCCTTCTCTTCACTAGACTAGTCATGCCCAGTTCCTGTAACTGTTCTTCATATGTTTTAGTCTCCTGTCCCCTAATCATCTTGGTTGTTCTCCTCTGCACTTTTTCTAGAGTCTCAACATCTTTTTTTATAGTATGGTGACCAAAACTGGATGCAGTAGTCTAGGTGTGGTCTTACTAGGGCTTTATAGAGTGGTATTAGTACTTCACTTGATCTTGATTGTATCCCTCGGTTGATGCAGTTTAGGATTGGCTTTTTTGGCTGCTGCTACACACTGCTGGCTCATATTTAGCTGGTTGTCCACTAAGACTCCAAGATTCCTCTCATAGTCACTGCTATTAAGCCTGGTTTCACCCAGTTTATATGTGTGCTTTTGGTTTTTCTTACCTAAGTGTAGGACTTCACTTTTCTCTACATTGAATTTCATTTGTTAGATAGGGTCCAGTGTTCACATCTGTCAAGATCCATCTGGATCTTGAGCCTATCTTCTAGGGTGTTAGCTATTCTTGACAGCTTAGTATCATCTGCAAATTTGGTAAGTTTCCCTTCTATTATAATAATATAATTATATTAATTATAAGTGATAATCCTATAGGACTGGGACCTCAAAGTAGCTGACTATATTTGATTTAGTTGGACAGGTAGATGAATACAAGAGAAGGCAATATGTCAGATAATCTGAAAGGCTTTAAATGGTGATAACTACCTTGAATTGCATCCAGAAAACAAGGGCAAAGCCAGTGGTCACTGTCAAGGTTGCCACATTTTGGACCAGCTGTAGCTTTCCAAGGGCAGACCCATGTAAAGTGCGTTATGGTAATATAATAAACATGAGGTAAACTAGTACGTGTACAATTGTGAGTGGGGCTGCTCGATCAAATAATGGTTGCAATTAATGTATAAGATCTGTGTGAAAGATTTTAGCCATAACCACTATTGCTCTTGAAGTAGGTTCTATAAACCAAGGAGACTGCCCAAATCAGTCACTCCCAAATCCTCAGTCAAAAAGGCATTGATTACTGGTTGGATCCAACATTCTTCCACCCAATGAGAGGCCTTAATCATGTATGAAAGGATGAATCCAGCTGAGAACTGATCTTTGCCTTTGATAAGTTAAATGGACAGAGAAGAGGCTTAGTTACAAAGATACCTTAGCTAATATACATGGAGATGACTATAAGGACTGCTAGAGGAAACTGCTAAAGCAACAAGACAATTTCTGTAGGATAGAGAGAAGCTCAAGGAAAAGTTAGTTCCAGATTCCTATTACTATGCTGTAACTTTTACAATAGGATGTAAAACATCCAAGACTTAATGATTGTGCATGCTCTGGAACATTTTTTGTATGCTTTATTTGCTCAAATAAATCATGTTAATCCTATTCTGTATTAATTGGCTTTCACTACCGTGTCGAAGAAGCCCTCTTGAGACAACAAAAATGGATGGTTGTGTCCAATAAGGGAAAGATAGTTTATTTCCTTAATGTCGCCAATATTCCGAATGACATTTTGGCCTTAATAACACAAGGCACTTTGCAATATCATATAACTCCGAGAGCAAGTAAGGCTGCCATAATACAACAGGAGTTACTATTGGATAAATTTAAATTTCATGGGCGTAACCCTCTAAAACAATAGTATCTGCCCATGCCGTATACCACCGTCTTCTATCTTGTACGGTATGTTTAGAAATTGAAGTCCGTCCGAACTCCCTCATTGGATTACTTGTGCGCTGACGTCACTTTACAGTGACCAATCAGAGTCCGCCAACCGCTTTTGAAAAACCCAAATTCGCAGGTGGTGATAGAAGCGCGATGCTTGCGCTTAAGCTCCAGGGCTGACCAAGCTCTGGATCTGCAAACGAGCGCGCGAGGTTTCAGGTAATGCGTCCCGTCACAGAGAGGAATTAACTGTCGGCCGCCCGGCGCAGTCGTGAGAGTCGGCGGAAGGATACACGTGAGGCTGCAGCAATCCCAGAGGGCGGGGGAGGAGTTGGCCGGTTTGAATGAGCGGAAGGGGAGACTTGGCGCGCGCGCGCGGTGGTGCTGCCTCTGAGGCGAGAGGGGGTCCGGGTGTGCCGTTGACGGGGAACGCGCGGGGCAGGTGAGGGGCTCTTGTCCGGGTGAGAACGGCGCCTGTGCGAGGGAGGCTGTTGTCCGCGGTGGTGCTGAGGCTGGAGGGTGGTGGAAATAGACTGACGGGTGCAGGATATTTAAAGAAAGCGGGGGCTAGTTGGTTCCTTGGTTTGTTTAGCGGAGCTTAGCTCGCACGTGGCCCTTGACAGGACGCCTACGGATCTTAAGACTCTTAAAAGGATTTATTTCTGGTAACTAAAAAGGATAGTTTAAATCGTGGCTTCAGACGAAAGCAGAAGAGGAACAACAAATGAACGAACTGGTTTTATGCCTTATAAGATAAATGGCAGTTCCTCTGTTATGGTGTGCTTCGGTGAGAACTCTGTTAGGAGGGTTTTTGATGTAGGACAATGTCCATGATGTGGTATGCGATTATTGGTAATGACAGATTTTCCAGCAGATATCAGCACAATACTGTAGCTTAAGAATTCTATAGGTAGGTCTGAATGGCTTTATCCTTGAATTTGGCTACTCGTCTTTTCAAATCAAAGCTGAAACTAGCTGGTGTCAGTTATGCAAACTTGGGTAATTTGCCCATATTGCAGGAGATTTGTAGCCTGTCATTGAACAATACTGGTTTTATACCAGCTTCCATATAAAATAAAACCATTCTGGGAATATTTTAGGTACTGTGATTGGCTTGTTATTTTAATCTAACACATACAACAAAACAGTAGGTCTTCTGCCTGTACTATGTGAACCTAGTTGAAGGGAAGAGTTAAGTACAAATTGAGAGACAGATCCATTTTAGATGTAAGAAAAATATTAGTGTTTTTCAATAAATAGGTTTATTGCTTTTTCCTTTCTATTAAGAAGTTACAGAAGGCTTCAGTTTATGAGTTAATCTGTTTTTTTTCTTTTGCAGGTACAGCTGTAGGTAAAGAAATGTAAACTTGCAGTTCATGCAGGAAACTTCTCTAGCATCTAATTAAGCAGGTAATGTCAGGCTTAAGATCAGACACATGAGTTTGCTACTCACACTGCACATTGGCCTGCTTCTCAATTCCCTTGCTCTTTTTCTGATGTCACAAGGTATTCTCCCAGCTCCAGGAGGAATGAAATCCAAGTTCACGTAGTCAGTAGTTCAGCCTCTCAAGGTCCAAGCCCAGTAAAGTCTATCGAAATAGTTCATTGGGAAGCAGCATATAGTCTACCTACCACTATGTCCTAGGTTGCATTCTCATTCCAGAAAACATTTAGAGGATTATTTGCCATAGGGATACCCACCTAATATTTAAAGCAACTGAGATTGCTAACGGTAATTCTAATCCATGTAATCTAATATAATCTACATCTAATTCAAGATGTAAGATAAAATGAATAAATTTAAGTTCCGGGTTCCAAAGAAGAAAAGTTTTGTAGACTGCATTAATCCTTTTACATTGTATTAATGGATTATTGTAATTTTTCTTTTTCCCTCTTGATTTTTCTCACAATTTAATTTTCTGGATTTTTAAAAATTTGCTTGTACTACTCACCTAAATAGTCAACAATTATGAACAAATTACTGTTAAAATAAGTCTTCATTGACTTTCTGGGGAAGCCATCAGAAGATTGTAGATGGTGACCACAGGCTCTCAGGATGCTTGGCAACTGTTCATAAGTGCAAATAAATTGCCCAGCACCCAGATCACATGACCAGGGGATGTGACACAATGCTTTATGACAGCCGGAAGTCCATTATAGAGTTAAAACACATTTTTCCTGTAGTCATAATGTAATTTTTTTTCTATTAAAAAAATAGAAAAGGATCTGTGACCTGTTGTGGTAGCAAACAATATCCACAACCATATATTTTACACATACCAAGATGTGTTGAAATCTGCAATAATTTTATTTTATTTTTTCCTTAGATATAGAAATTGAAAATGCCATTTTTGGGGAAAATTGTTGTTATTAAGAGAAATGGAACCGATGGAACTCATTTTCCGCTCACTGCAAACTCTTGTTTGTTTGGACGGTAAGACTTTAAATTGATAAGGGGTTTATTTGTGTAGGATTTTCATTATGTAATTTGATGTAGGGCTGTCCTTTTTGTAACAAGTTTTAGGTAGTGTCATAACTTACTTTCCTGGACTCCTTCATTTGTCTTCTATATAATTTCTTTAGTTGTGCAGTGTATGTTACATAATGGATTTGATCTGCTTTAGTGCATTATTATTTATGCAAGACATTCATCTAATCAAAAACCTAACCATTTATTTTAGAAGTTCTTAAAATTCAATCTAAAAATCAGGTTGTCTGCATCTTCAGCAACAGCTGCATTGCCTTATAATAGGTGGAAATGAGTTAGAGATTTAGAGATCACAATATATTTTAAGAGATGTCAATATAAGAACATGTAGTTATATAATTTGAACTAATAATCTTGTAATTATTTTATATTTTAAAGGAAAAAAGAATGTGATATTCGAATCCAGCTTCCTCAAGTTTCTAAAGAACATTGTAAAATTGAAGTCAATGAAAATAAAGAGGTATGTATTATTACTTTCGGTACTTACTCAATCCTAATATTTCTGGTACTTGTGCTTTATTCATTGATCTGGATATACATATTTTATTCCTATGTATTTTTAGGCAGTGCTGTTTAACTTGAGTTCTGCAAATCCAACACAGCTAAATGGGAATCTCTTTCAAGATCCCACACACTTAAAACATGGAGATATACTGACAATTATTGATCGTTCTTTCAGGTATGTAACAATAATATAAGCAAATATTGGTGTGCCAGAAATAGCCAGTGCTTTTTAGAAGCTGAAGATCAAGGAAATTTTAAAATAATTTGATTGATAGGAAAACTCCCCAAACAGGAAAACAGATTATGTAAAGAGTAACTAAACTATTAGTCTAAAACTGTACTTTACTAGAGTTGGAGATGAAAACACTAATAATTTTGAATCAAGTGGACTTAATAACTTCTTAAAGTCTTAATAACTTAAAGTTGGGTTGATTTTAATTTAAGCAATCTTTGTACTTGAATAGATTTGAATATCCACCTTCATCACTTCCTCAGAAGAGACTTTCTAGATCTCAAGAGAAGGAAACATTACAGGTAAAGTAAAAATCATTACATTTTCCTTAGTTTGGGGAAAGGGACAATAATAAAATTTAGAAATTTATAAATTGAATGTTGCTCTTTGGCTTGATTTAGTAATTGGCCATTATCAGTTACATTTCACTTTTAGTCATTGTATTCCACACATTTAACTATAATTCAGAGGAAACACAAAATTTGGTATTGGTGTTGAGCTTTAGAAAATTAAGATATTTAAGAAAGCGAGTTAGTGCTGTAAGTTGACATTCGATCTATGAAAGATTATTAATAGTTTCTCTACTTTATCATGAGATGGGTTAGGTTATCCAATTGAAAGTAGAAAACCTGTAAGATCTTAAGATGAACTTAAAAATAGGTATAAAAATGAATCCATTGAAAGTTTAATGTCATTTAAGAAGAGGGAGAAGACTGTTAAGTCTTGATTTACATTATTTTAATCAAATTATGTCAGTTACATAATTTGTTAAATAGGTTACATAATGTTTTATGTTGAGGTCTGTTAAACAGATTTTATATAAGTGGAATATTGAAAGGCGAGACAAGAAATGTGTCATTGAGATCTTGACAGTGGCATTAATTTTCATAAAGTATGTACTGAATCTAATATTAACTGGAATTTTTATCAGTGGTATTACTGTATTGCAGCCTTAGATTCTTCATGATGTATCTGCACAGCACTTAATGTTCAGAGAACTATTGTAAATATGTTTCTTTCACTGTAAATAATTAGTTGTTATACATAGAACTTTTGGAAAGTTTTTGGAAAGCTCATAAGTTTTGGAAAGCATAGTAATAGATGGATATCCATATTGAATTCTGAAATTCAATTCAAAATTCTAGTGTTGAGTTAGTCCTGACACATAGTTAATACTCTTGGCTTCAGATAAGAAGTGAATGTAATACTGCATTATCTTTCAATCATTTATTCTAAGAAATCACCAGTGGAAACTTATTTTACAAGAAAAATGGCAAGCTTAAAAGAAGTATTAAATTCCTTGTTCTATTGCATTGTGTTTAATTTTACAGATTCTTCATGTTCAGCATATGCAACAGATGGATTTGCTGCACCCACACAACTCAGATTACAAAAGTTCTCCAATTACTGGTTGGTAATTTTTTTGTTCTTTTTCTATAAATGCTTCATTGTATTAATGACTTTTTATTAATAAAAAGGATGTGTTTACTAGTGAGTGGTAAAACAAATGAAAGCAGCCACTAGAAATTTGCTGTTAAAATACATGAATGGATTTGGTTTAATTTGTTGTGGATTTAATAAGACAAACACAACTTTTAGATTAATCAGAGACAGATTTTATATATATATATTGCGCAATAGATTCAAGGCTCTGTACATGAAGCGTTGAACAAAGACAGGAATTAGGTACAATGGTTTTATACCCTTCTAGACAAAGGATTCTGTTAGGTCAGCAATTCATATGGTCCTATACATTTATCAATTTTAGTTGACATTTCCTAATTACAGAGTTTCTTTGCAAAACAGTCATAATTCTTTTTGTAGATTACTGAAGCATATCTTTTATCTGTTGTTGAAACAACAAAGTGGACATCTCTGTCACTTTAACCTCAAGGTGTAAATCACGTAGACTGTTCTTATCTGTGACAACTGAGAGGCCTTGAAGTAAGCATCCTGGCAAAGAATGTCCTTGTCTGTGTTCTGAATATAATTGCAAGCAATTTCTCTTTTGCAATATTAAGAACAAAAAAGGCCCTTCAGTGACTATCTAACTGGATCCGTGTTTATTTTATTTTATTTTATTTTATTTGTTACCTGTCCCACCATAAATTGATGAATTGTTTTCTGAGTCTGTTAGTGACCCAGTTTCTGAGTATACTCTAAACCATGATAATTAAGAGTTGAGACACAGGCTAGTCTTAAAATTATATTAGAAATAATATTTCACAGCTGATTACATTTTATAGAGTGACCCATATATTTTCCTGTCCATTCAGTAACTTTCATAAAATAGTTTATGAACACATCTATTCCTTAAAATTAGCTGATTACAACCATGTTTAAGGTAAGTGAAAGTGATTTGGAAAATTACAAATAATCTTGCATATATTTATACTATATTGTTAGGCAATTATAAATAAAAGTTGGCTTCTATAAGTTTTGATTTGTTGAACTTAATAGAATTGTGCAAGTCTTTTGAAGGAGGTAAATTGTAATGTATGCAGATCTGTCCAAAGCACATCTTTTATGATCACTAAATTAGTCATATATTTTTGCAGGTTCATGCAGTTGCTTCCTAAACGGTTTCTAGGCCATTGAGAAAAGTTTCAAAGTGGGCATTCGCAAGCATGTGAATATTGTTGGAAGCAGTTTACAAAGCTGTTGCTTGAGGCTGGGAAAAATAATTGACTCCTTTGAAAAGAGATGCTTTGTACACACTCCTGTGTGCTGTGAAGCACTTTTTTTCTAAGGATTTGTAAATGTCTGCTTAATTCCTCAAAAATTACTTTCTGATTAGTACTTTATCTGTATAAAGCTTCAAAAATAGTTTTAACTTTATTCAAGAAAACATTTTAAAAACTGCCAATTTCATATTCCTGTAGGCAAGAAATTTGAAATTTGCTCTCCTAGAAGAAATGAGAAAAGACTTCAAAAACAATACAGCACATCTGAATTTAAGTACAAAATGCACAGCACTGAAAAAGCAAATGAATTGTCTCCTTTTAGCAAACTTTATGAATTAATGAAACATGAAGATAGCACAGGCAATGTAAAGGAAAATACTGATAATGAGAACTTGCTGGAAGATGTATTTAGCTCAAGATCTAGGAGGTCTGCAATGAGTCGAGCAAAGTTAACTAAAGTTGAACAATCTGAAGATAGTAAAATTCAAGGAAAGCATGATATTGTAGCAAGTCCAATACCAACATTTGAAGAGAAGAACTCTGAAAAATTATCAAGCACTCAAAATTGTGGTATACAACAGAAACGAGAATGTGAGGGTGCAAATCAGTCAGATTTTAAGAACATAGAAGATAATGAACTGGAAAAGTATGCACATTTTAAAGCCAAACAGCAGAGCGGACAGCATTTCTCTGAATCATGTATACTGTCATTGGACTATGCAGAAAAGGTTAAGTGCCTTAACAAATTTAACGTAACAGATGCTTTCACATCTGTAGAAAATACTTTGCCCAAAACAAAGCCTAACCAGGAGAGTACTCAAAATTATCCCAGTCCACATTCTAGAAAGTCTCGAAGATCTTCCAAGTCCAGAAGGACAGGGGTTGAAATAGATTCACTGAACAGAATGAAGAGCTCTGGAGAAATGAAAGAGTGCCCTGTACAAGTTAGTGGGCAGGAACATGAATCTGATATTTTGATTGAAAATATATATTCTAAAACAAATGAAAATAGAGAACTGGTCACAGAAACAGCGCTAAATCTGAAAGATTCAGAAGATGGAAATTCTAGTACTGTTTTCAGTTCACTTCATCTTAATACTAGTGAAAACTGCAATAACAACATTGAACTAAATAAAACTATTTCAAATGAATATTCTTATACAGAGGCAATAGATAAAGAATCAATAATCCCTGCAGATCTTTCCCAAACCAGTGAAATAATGGCAAATGAGATTCCTGAAAAAAACTTGGAAGCAAAGTATCCTACAAATGAAAATAAAAAAATAGGAACAGAAAACCGTGAGCAGAACATTAATATCAAAAACGATATACCTACTTTTTCCAGTTATGAAAGCAGAGTTCAAACATCAGCCAAGGTTAATGCTGTTTCTGAAATGAATGTGTTATGTCCACTTAATAAAAAGTCAGGTAAATACAATTTTCTTTTATATCAAAACTATATAATTGCTATTTGCTGTCTCCAGTAACTAGTTAAGATAAAAAAATTTACCAGCTTATTTTTTCTGTCAGTTAATTGGCTTGTTTGACATTGTTACTAGAAATAGAGGTTAAATTATTTGAAATATTAGTGCCTTAGTTATGATTGAAAATATTGACACCAGAATAGAATAGAATAGAATAGAATAGAATAGAATAGAATAGAATAGAATAATTCTTTATTGGCCAAGTGTGATTGGACACACAAGGAATTTGTCTTGGTGCATATGCTCTTAGTGTACATAAAAGAAAAGATACATTCGTCAAGAATCATAAGGTACAACACTTAATGATAGTCGTAGGGAACAAATAAGCAATCAAATCATATTAGGAAACAACAACAACAAAACAAAAGTGTAAATAAATTTAAGTTTAATTTTTTAAAAATTAAGCAATTGTATTCTCAGCACAAACTTTTTAATTGTATTAATGTTGAAAGGCATTATGTTCACTTTGCTGTAATTTACTCTTCATTTATAGAGGTTAAGAAATCACCTCAAAAGCGTAGAGGTACAGAACTAGATTTTCTAGTCCAATCACTTGGAAAGAGGAAGAGAGTGTCTTTTGGTGGCCAACTGAGTCCAGAACTCTTTGATAAGCGCTTACCTCCAAACTCACCACTTAAAAAGGGGGCCATTCCAGCAAGACTAAGCATGCCATTTGGAAACTCACCACGAGCAGTTCTGAAAAAAGCTGCAGAATTAAAGCAGTCTGTAACACAGGTATGTGATTGATTGACGGAACAACTGATTGCTAGGAATATCTACATTTTAACCAAAGAATTGCTCTTACTCCCACAACAATATATATACATATGTTTGTCTATACTTCACTATTCTTCATACTGAAAACTTTTTATTTTAAATAATGTACTTATACAAATATGTTAAAACAGTTGATCAGAAATTTTAAATCAAATAAGATTTAGAAATATTTTTGGGGGGAGGAATATAAGCTCTGCACTTCTTAGTATACCTAAATATTCCCCTAGAATTCTTTCTGCGAGGAGTTGGTGATATATTGTACCTGAATGCTTCTTTTCTATTTTAAAATTTGGCGATTTTATTTCAGAGAAATGTAACGGCAAATAAATGTAATAAAATTGATAAATCTGTTGATAAAATATTTATTCCTATTTTATTGTTAGAAACTCCCAAAACAAAATTGGGTAAATATTTCACATTCTGTTAAAAAAAAATGAAATACTCTCCAGCAGAGATACAAGTAGCCATCTTTGGTTATTGTGGATGACCTACACATTTAGCTTTATATAAGATGTTTGAAATCAGAATCTATGCTACTGACTTTTATTTTTAAATTGGGGCATTTTCAAAATAATATCTTTAAAGCTTACCAAATATTTATTTGAGAAAGCAAATTTCTGAAATAAAATTATTTCAGAGAAAAGTGGAGAGCTTGGAAATATTTGTAGATACCTGGAAAGTAATACAAAAAGTTCTGTCTCTGGGGATAGTGTTCCAAGAAAGTCCGCTCCAGGGCTAGATTATGAACCACTCCTTGCTCTGGATTATTTACTTCCAAAAAATTGCTAGACCATCTCCAGAATGGCCAACTCTGTGGTCTGATGAACAGATTTGGCCATTCTGACTTCTTTTTTATCTACTGCTTCACATCTTTTCATAGTTTCATAAAGTAGCTAAGTAATAGATTTGAAAAGTTAATTTTAATTTATATTAAACAAAATTGGCAAGTGAAAAGGGTTTAGAGCTAAGTGTTGTGTGATTTTATTTGGTTTTTATACCATCACAGTCTTTTGGACTATTATTGGTTAGAATGTTACAATAAAAAAACAACAGAATGAAAACAAATTTTCATTTGTTTCCAATTCAAATTGGAAAACCAAAATTGAAGTGGGAAAAAAGAATGACAAGAGGTACTGGTGATATTACTGAAATGCTGTTACAGTAAGTCTCCATTTTCAATAATTTCCTAAAATCTATCGAAGGGATCCACTTTCCATAATTTGGTGCTGCTGCAAAAAACAAAGAGCCCCTCCCTAAATGATGCAATAGGTTGCATAAAATCTGGTTAGAGGAGGCTCTTCCATAGATACCCAAGCGTCAAGTTATGAAGAATATTGACACCAGCACTTTAAATTGTGGTTGGAGCTGAAATGGTAACCAGCGCAGGGTCTTCAATGTATGTGTGATCTGTTCCCATTATTGAAACCTAAGACATGTTGCCCCATTCTGGACTAATTGTAATATCCTCATAGTCTTCAAAGGCAACCCCTTACAAAGTATTGTGCCTTTTTTATGAATGTCTAATTGTTCAATTCATTTTTCTGAGAAGTTCTGAAGGAAATAGATATGATTGCCGTTTGTTCAAAATCTAAAGTTTGATTTTTTTGTGTGTTACCTATTTGTTTTCCTGCAGGGTTCCTTTGAGAAGAAGCAATATGAAAATATTGTGTTAAAGAAAGCTGACTCGCCTAGTGTGCCCCAGAGGCTACAATGTATCTCTGATCCTCATGTTGCAAGTCAATCTTCAGAGGGTGAAGAAACCACAGTATCTAATGCCACTTCATCATTAAGAAGGAGCAAACCCTGTGCTTTGAGGAGAAGTTCTGTACGTGGAAAAAGTGGAGCTATGGGTACTATTCACTCCAAAAGACGAAGTGGTGCTTCTGAAGCCAACTTGATGGGTGTGTTACAATTGTATCTATTGCTAGATAATTTACAAAAACAGAATTAAACCTTTTATGTTTCAAACACAGTATATAACAGATATTTTATTAAAAATGATTAAGGTGAATAATCTTCAACAATTGATGTTTTAGTTGTGAAGTCTTGGGCGGAAGTAGTGAAACAAGGTGTTCCAAAAGTGCAACTGAAGTCTGCTTCAAAACAGGCCCCTAAAACAAGATCAATGAAGAAAGTGGCTTCAAAATCATCAAAGGTATAGCCAAAACAGATAATTGTATAATTAATAACTTTTTTCCAAGTGCTCAACTAAAAGAATCTGGATTATTGTACTGGGGAGATCCTTTTGATACTTTGTTAATTCTAAATTCTGTCTCTAGTATTTCTAGGTAAAATTGTCTTTTATTAATGGAAAATCACCAACAGTTTTAGTAGAAAATATAGGGTAGTTTCAACCTATTTAAGATCTTTTAATTGAAGGCAGTATGTTCTATTAGTGCATCATTTTGGAGAATGAAAATGACCTGAATTGCCATGATGAAGTATAAAGGTAGGAATGCACATTTTAGCTACTGATATTTCTAAAATTAAAAAGAATTGGGGAAAATAATGAATGAATTATATGTAATAAACAATTGAAAGAAAGCATATCTAAGATAAGTGGGATATGGATATTATTCGTCGGCAAAAAGTAGCAATTTCAAATAGCCATGCTTGCCACTCAGAACAAAGATTAACGTAAGTTAAATAATTTTTGAAAATTGCTTTAAAAACAGCTAACAAATAGCTGAAGTAGATGTAAGTAAATGTAAATTTTACAGATGTAAAATTTGCTGAAGGCGAAAGACGTGGCTTTCACAGTAATAAGAGTTGAGGCAAAAAAAACCCCACCCCACCTGAAATAGATTAACCAGAATATATATTAGCATCAGACAGCCTTCCAAAACTGTTACTGAAATAAGGCATATTAAATGATTAAAATGTTTAACAAATATTGATATTGCCAAATTTTATCGTATTACGAATGTATTGATGAAATGTATTTGATACTTTTAAATGTGATAATTATCAAATTATATATAAGAACTTACATGCTTTAATTTTTCTCAGTCATGAAATAATAAAAAAAATAAGCATGATTGTAATAACCTTCCAGTTACTTTTTCAGTTTATTATGAGAGAAATGAGGCTCTGGCTGTATAGCTACTGAGATAAAGGCTCAGTATATGTTGTTTCTTTTGAGCAGCAAAAAAAAAAAGATTAAAAAGACATGTAGGTAACATGGTAAAATACAAGGCAAAATGTTCTGACATCGTCCTGTACCAGGGCCCAAATATAACTGCCCAATGAGATTATCAGTACTTTGATTTAGAATACTAGGGAGTGACTCTAGCTCCATAATTAAACTGAAAATACCTTGGTTGAATAAGAGCACAAGCCTCCACACAATTATATCAACTAACCTATAGCCTATCCAATACATTTAGACTGTCTTATCTGCAGCTAATGAAAGATGGCATTGTTCCCCTTCTTCAAAGAGGGGCTACATTAAGAATTGTATTATGTATGGAGAAGAAAACTTGTTGTTATGAGGGTGAGAACTTTAAGCCAAAAATGTTGCTTAATTTTTCAGCAGAAAACCATCCTGAATGAATTAGTAATAATGAATGCCAGCTGCAAATACAAATTTAGACATACTTGTAATTTGAAAATTTAAATGAGGTATTTTAAAATCCCTGTAGAGATTGTCAATCACCCAGGTCATGGTTGTGCCAAAAATGCTTTTCAAAAGATAAATGAACTTGGTTTTTTCCTTGAAAACATTTCACTTCAATTCTGAAGAAGCTTCTTGGATAAGAAGCAAAACATTTTCAAAGGAAAAAACCAAGAAAGTCCAGTTGCCTTTTGAAAACCACTTTTGGGACAACATTTTTAAAGTTTATACTTAGTAAATTTTTGACAATAATATTTATGGTTGATTTGAGTCTTGGAAGAAAATTATTTGAAAAAAAATTAAGGATCATGTGTTTATTTATATAATTCAGAATTTAATGTTTATGTATTCATGTAGATTCCTTTTTAATAAAAGTTAATGGCAACCACACAGATCAACCTTATATTCCAAGACTTCTTTATTGTTCAAATTATATATTTCCGATACCAAAAACACTGGTTTCTTATTGGACCCAATTTAAACTTTATCCTTTACATTTCTAAAGGTTTGCCATTTATCTTATTTTAACTTAATTCCTTTGTTGGTGACACTTTATTGATTCTTCTATTTTTAACTTTAGTTTTTAGATTTTTTTTTCACTCTGAATATCTCGACATGCCCCACCCCCACCCACCCCCGGAATATTTGAATTTGAAGAATTTGAATTTTTCATTTTTTCCCTTCAGGGACTTAAGGTTGGGAGCTCAAATTTGAATAGCCATCACTCTTTTTCTGTTGATACCATCTCTCTCTCTGTCCTTGTCCTTACTGTCTATGTGAGAACTCTCCTTTATATGTGGGAATTTATTTTACTGGCTTTCCTTCCTCTTTGTGGTCCTGATTAATGGACACATAATGTATTATGGATATATAACAAAGTATTGGGTGAAATGCAAGAGTGCTCTTCTCTCCCAGGTCACCTTTTCCTTGAACTTCTGAGGCTTTCAGTCTGCTGAACTACTATCTTCCCTACTCGTGTCTCACCTACATAAATTCAACCTTCCTTCTGCAGCCCATCACTTTCTGGTTCTAGCTATCCCATCAGATCTGGCAGATATACTAGAAAAGTCTACTGAGCCTTGAGGTGCTTGTTTTCTATGAACTTTGTAACTTTTGTTCTTTTTTCAGTTTCCAACTTCTCCAATTTGCTATTTTAATACTTATAAAAAAAGACTCTAAATAGTTTTACTTCATTGCAAGCACCCAATTTAATACTCCTCCGCTCCACCTCTCCACTTCTGATATATGTGGAGTATATGTGTCACAGGATATATGTTGCTATGGGAGATATTAACAGTGAGTAGTAGGGACAAACTCCTCTTTCACAGATATTTAAAACTTCTCTTTTGAAAAATTCTCTTTTTTTCCTTATGTACTGCACTGCATTGCACTGACTTGGCTGTTCCTGAGATAGAATTGGATTGGATTGGATTGGATTGAATTACAGAGTTGGAAGGAATCTTGGAGGTCTTCTAGTCCAACCCCCTGCTCAGGCAGGAGACCCTATACCATTTTAGACAAATGATCTACAGATGATCTAGTAATTTTTAAAAAGTGAATCTTCCAAACCAGGGGTGTCAAACTCAAAGCCCTCAAAGCCCGGATCAGGCCTGGGAGTGTGTGTTTAGATGTGGCCCATAGGGCCGTCATAGAAATAGCAAAGGACCGGCCCGCGTTGCCTGTGCCAGCAAAAATGGAGCTTGGGAGAGCCACCCACAGCCCTCCCAAGCTCCTTTTTCCCTGGCAGAGGGTTGCAGGGAAAACCATGCATCGCAGGAGCCCATTTTTGCTGGCAGAGCACTCAGGCGCCCCTGGCATGAGTGACGTCGAGCTGGCCACACCCCCTGGCCCTCCTGAAGTCAAACACAATCTGATGAGGCCCTCACTGAAATCGAGTTTGACACTCCTGTTCTAAACCATAAGTGACATATAATGAATCCAAAAAACAGGTTCCTTTCTGACAATTTTTATTTTTTTTAAAAACTGGATTGAATTGGATAAAAAAACTAGTGTCATTTGGAAAGGAGAAAAAGAAGTTCCAATGTTTCCTGGATTGTTCTGCCTCCAAAATGATGTTTGCACATTATTGAATTCTTCCCTATTTTTTTTTTTTAAATTTGATTTATATGCCGCCCTTCTCCGGAGACTCAGGGCGGCTTACACTGTGTTAAGCAACAGCCTTCATACTTTTGTATATTTATACAAAGTCAGCTTATTGCCCCCACAAACTGGGTCCTCAATTTACCTACCTTAGAAAGGATGGAAGGCTGAGTCAACCTTGAGCCTGGTGAGATTCGAACTTACAGTAATTGCAGACAGCTGGTGTTAATCACAATGCTATTAGTCTGCTGAGCCACCAGGCCCCTATTGAGAGGATATTTTTATTGTCCCAGAATTGTCTGAAGCAAACCAGAAAACCTTGTGCAGTTTCAGCCTATACAAATTGGGCCAATTAAGACTTTTCTCAAAAGATCATATAACATATTCCCCAGAACTGAAATAAATAGAAAACTATTATTATCACTAGACTTTTAAATTTATATTTGTATCTATAGTGGCATGTTTCATTAAACTGATTTTTAATATATTCTGCTTTTAGAATAACAATTCATTAAAAACACCAAAAAGAAAAATCAGCGGTTACTTCTCAACAGGACATGCAAATTCTCCTGCTCCAATTGTGATTGGAAAAGCTCATTCTGGAATTTTGAACATAACTGCACAAGTTCCTAAGGTGGTAATCAGTTATCCTTTGAAAAAGCATTGTGACCTCAATGAAAGTTTTACAGGTAAAGTTTTGGCCTTTGTTTAATATACGTTTGCATGCCAAATGACATGAGTTCATGTTTCCTGTTTAAAAATTAAATATGTCATACAGAAAAAACCTTGTATGTTATATGAAACTATTTTGTATAACTCTGACACTATGAGTTGTGCAGCATTATATAATATTTATATAAGCATTATATAATAATTAACCAGATGATAATAGCAATTGCTTTTTAAAGATTCAAAAAAATTGTCCTACTACACCCTAGCATGTCATTTATTTATTGCAGTTTATTGTATGTTCCCATTATCTCAACATAGTGATTCTGGATAGCTTATAGCAGTTAAAAACAGAACAGCAAAATAAAATACACAACTAGCAATGAAGTTAAAAAGCAATCAAACAACAATTAACATAGCCATCTTATAGGCTCAAACTGACAATCCCCATACCTGGAAACAGAAATGTTTTCAGAGCCTTGTGAAAGGTTGGCAGGTTCAGGTCCAATCTAATTTCTGAGGGAATGGTGTTCTAAAGGAATGGCATTATGACAGAAAAAGTTCATTTCTTGGGTCCCACAAGGTGATGTTCCTTGATTGATGGCATCAATAACATCTGCCAGATAGCCAGAAACAATAAGGGAGATGTTCCATCCCCTTCTAAGTTAGAGGTTGATAATTATATAACGTAGATAAAAAGCAGAGTGCGGTAGAGGGTCTTTTTGTACTGAACTATGCGTGAAAGATAATATGTACAGATATTGTTTTATAAATTCCATACTGATAATCTATTATCCTACTTTCCAAAGGACATCGGGGCAATATCTGCTTGCTGTTGATCCCAGCAATTGTTGATAGATGGATATAGTAGCGCTATGAATTGCTTTTTTGCTGATTTAGAAAAAGTGCCTTAGAACCGACAGGAAAAAATAATTGCATATCCAACACTTCAAAGCAGCTGTATATTTTCCTGGGAATGTGCGGTTCCTTTTCTGATCTGCCATATGATGCAGATGCTTTAAAGAGTTATAGAAAAGCATTATTTTCATTCTGCACACTCGAGACATCCCTTAAATATATATAAAATGTTATCTTGAAACATTTGCCCTCAAAGCATCTCACGGATAGATGATGTGAGCTCTGAATGTTGTGGTTCTTCGGGCAAATAATATAAATAGATTTATGTGATAACTTTGCTTTATGAAGATGCTTCTAAGTCTGTTGAGGTAATATAAATGGAAATATCACATTGCAGTGTTTTTTTAAAATAGCGGTGCATGTGCTCTTACGTTTTGTCATAATGTTCAGAAGAAATTCAGACGTATTAACACCTTTTTTTTTTTTCTGAGGCGAGCAGGAATCTTTGTAAACTAAAATAATATGGTTGCATTTGAACAGTCTGCAGAGAACAAGAGCATACAGAAAATTGGCAAAGAGATGATTGTTTAGAAAAACCTGCCAAATATCAATAAAGGGAGAGTGACCAATGAAAGGATATTTAATAGAATATAGATATATAATCTGAATTATATAAACATGTACAAATAATTGAATAAGTTTGATAAAACTATGTAACACATGCATTTAAAACATTGCATTCAAATCTAGGAAAAAGAAAAACCAGACTCGCCAAGAGGACTACTTATCTGTTGTAAAAACCTCTCAAGGTGTAAATTTGGGGTTTTCCTGCAGAACTCTTTAATGTTAAATTAGAAATGTTTCTTCCATGAACAAGAGATATTCCATTGGTGCCATGCATCTATGTATGCAGATTTAACCAATTGCTAAGTTTTTAAAAAAATAGTTGAACATTCTTATTGTCTGTGTGTTTATCTACAGAGAGGAAATAAAATCAAGGTTGATTTTATTGATTAAGAAATTGTGATGTGTGAGAAATTAGATTTGCAGTGGATTGATTTTCTTAAAGGTTACCAATATATCAACTCCTTGCTTTGCCAACAGATGGTGCTATGATTGTGTAAGAATGTAATCCATTAGCAAAGTACGGTGTAGCATAATAGCATACTTACTGATATAATAAGAGATTCTCAGCAGAATGGCCATGATCAGCAATGATGTTGGTAGTGGGGCTTTGGTGCATATTGCAGTATTAACAGTAGTAATGGAAACTAGAAATTTAGAATTGAAAGCAATACTACTCTTACCCTTAAATCCCTCCCTCCCTTAGCAGCCTACATTTGGACCATTTTGGAAGGAAGAATCAAGATTTCTGGTGAAAGATTTGCAGATATTCTTGTTCTTCAAAATTTCAAAACAAAAGTCATTGTACAAGTAGTCTTTATATAATTTAAACTGGTGCAAAATAAACATGCATACTCATTTTTATATTACTTAGTTGCAGTATAACACACATGCAACCCATTCATCCAGCTATTTGTGCTCTCAAGTTCTATTGCAAACTTTCCCTCCCCCCCTCCCCTTTTAAGGATTATCTAGATCAGCTCTGAGCAAACTTTTTGTTGGGTTGTATGTTTAACTCCTTCTTTCCTAGAACTAACCAAGAGCTTAGTTTCCTGCTACTGAGGATGAAATATGTTTAAATGCCTCCTGTAAAACAGTAGCTTGATTAATATTGCTGAGATCAGAGGAAACACTCAAAATGATACCTGTACACAAAGCCAAGCTTTGTTTCATAATCAGAACTCAAAATTGCCAGATTGAACTAAAACATTTGCACATCATACTAAATAATGGATTATTTTCAGTGTGAGATTGACATAGTTTTTGTATGATGACCAGTCTGTCTTTATTGATCTACATAGTTTAGTTGGTTTGTAAAATTATATTTTAAATTTAGTATAATTAAAACAATAAAAGCTGGCCTAAATCCAGCATCCATGTAAACTGTCCCCTCCCTACACAATTAGATTTTAATTAAAAGTCATTTAATTACATTTGAACTGCTTTCCAATATGCTATTAGGGAGGAGCCATTGAATTATTGGAGGTAAAATATTAGACAATAATGGGGCATATACAAAGAAACCAGTGGCCTTGCTTCCCCTGATCACATGCTATGAGAGAAATGGTGTCTCTTCCCTTTTTTAATTTATTGTGTTTCTGTCTAATACATTTGGGCAGTTTAATCTCTGAGACCCAGAAATCTCACTTTCCTTGGATTTACTGGGAACTATTCCAGTGATTGGGTCACCATTTTTGGGACATACTCCTTTCAACAGCAGTTTCAACAGAAAGTAGTTTACACCCTCCCTCCCTATTGTCTGCAGTCAGTTTAGGGAAACCTACCATGCCTCATTGTTGGGGACAATTAGGTTATCATTCGTTTTAGTGAGCCAAGGGACCCATGGACCTAGACATGAAGCAGCACATAGAATATTGATTATGTGCCACTAAGTTATTTTTGACTCCTAGTAACAAGGTAGATTTTCCCCGTGTTGATCTATCATCAATGCACTCATCAACACTGCAATTGAATCCCTCACCTTGCAGCTGATCTTCTCTTTCCTAGTATTAGAATGTTTTATAGAGAACAGAATACAATAGAATACATCTGTTTTTCTCCTGTGACAGACTTACATGTGGTCTCATACTTTTGGATCAGAGAAGCAATTCTTGTTAAGTTGTTCTGCTGATGCAAGTACTTTGTTTTCTCAAGAGCTTGAAAAGTGACTTCCTCTCCCTGTGGGGAAGCATAGCTGAAGAGAGTATCATTGTGCTTGATGTTTTGCAGAGCATTTCGCAGGGGCTGCCCCTGACAAATACCAAAGATGAAAATGCAATTTTTCCTCGGTTGATTTTTATTCTTTTCTCCAAATCTAATTGAGTCTTGCAAAATAAGGAGTATTTTACACTGATGATTATTTATGAGTTGCAGAGAATATTCCTTTAGCATTAGATTTGAGTTTGCTGGTACTGTTGATTGTTCACTTCTCGTGCCAGTTAGACAAAAGAAATTGAAATAGAATAGCAATTAAGAATTGACTGCCACAGATTCCTGGATACTGTTTTCACACAGCAATTTCAGTTTTTTAAACAAACAGGTCTTTAAGGTTCTTACTCCAATTAACATCCAATCCTTTTTGGACCTAGGAATAGTCAAGAGTTTTCTAGTAGCTTAATACCCAGCCACCGATTCCTAGTTCCCAGATGCATTGGGTTGTTTTCATATAATTAGTGGGCCATCTGGACCTTAGCAAAGTAGTCCAGCTATACCTAGATACAAATCGGTGCCTGGAAGTAGAATGCCAAGCCTTTCAAGCCCACTTCTATGCCACTTTTATCCTGACATCTTGTGTCAGGACATCAATGATCTAGATATGTAAAATAGCTTTTTTTCTACTGAAGCAGAGAGAAGAGATTAAGTTTATTAAGGTTTACTATTTTTTGGAAATTAAGACTCTTGTAATCAAGTCTTTCAAAAGTCTTTTATAAAAGATCTATATCGATCATTGCTAGGACTCAAAAGACTTATAAGATGGATGACTATATAAATGTATTAATAAAATAAGTTTGGATCAGGTTTGAAACCCAACTCATTAAAATGACTGTCTCTTTGCATTGACTTCATCTATATGCACCTATGCGTTAAGATATTCCTTTTCTGATATCTTCCTGTGTTGATATATGTATTTAAGATTGCAGTTAACTTATACAGACCTATTACATATACCTGTGAGCAGTTCAACCAACTTTTCCATCAGTGCTTTGCTTAGTATATGTGAAGAGTAGCAACAAGCTCCTAAGCCTTTCCCTTTGTGAGACAATTCAGTCTTAATTCAGGAGTTTTATCCAGGGGTGGGTTGTACTTACCTTTACTACCGGTTTGCAACGGGGCTGTGCGCAAGTGCAGAAGCTTCTGCACATGCACAGAAGCATTTTGATGACATCAGGGTCGGTGGTCAGAGCCTCCCCCCAGTTTTACTACCGGTTCTATAGAACCGGTGCGAACCGGGGGCAACCCACCACTGGTTTTATCAGATGCTTCATTTGACACAAGAGGCTTGCAGCAAATAGTGCCTTGTTTCTAAATCTACTTAGAAAGAAATGCCCAACTTACTTGGATTGCTTTTATAAGATTTTTAAAGCACTCTGGCCAGAAAATGCTGGGCTTAGAATGACATTTTCTGCTGTGGCTGGAGAATATAGTCCACTTTTTAAAAGAATTTCGTCTGTACCAAGAAACAATTCCTTAAATACCTATTTCTTAGGTATAAATTAAGAAATAGGTATTAAGGAATTGTTTTCTGGTACAGACAAAATTCTTATAACAACCATGTTACTAATAGTGATTAACAACTATGGCAAGAAACGTCGTAAAACGGGGCATTATTAAAATGGGGCAAGTTCACTTAACAATTGTCTCACTTAGCAACAGAAATATTGGACTCAATTGTTGTCAGGGAATTGTGCAGCCAGTGTCCAAACGGAGTCAGAGACGCTGACACCAATTTGTAGTGTTAAATAAGAACAGGAGCATCATATAAATCAACATAGTAGGAAGATCAGGAGGTAAATCAATGGAAAGCACACAGAAGAAAAAGGTGGGAAACAAAGAAACTCCCCCTTTACTCAGCAACCAATCACAGCTCAGATTGCCTCATGCAGTGGCTAGCTCTCTTTAACCAATTAGCTATAACTGTTCTTGCTGTCCAACCCTTCACTGCTTCAGCTAACTTAACAATTGTAAGTTGAGGACTACCTGTATTGCAATTTTTTATCCATGGAAAACTATATAAATTGCTCATGGGCCAAGATGGCACTTTAAACAAAGCTGTTCTTTAACTGGGAAAGCTGCTGTTCATGAGCCAAGATGGCACTTTAAACAAGGCTGCGTTTTTACTGGAAAAATGTTTGAGGCAGCGCTTGCTAACCTGGCACTTCCACCCCAGCAGTCATAATAAATCTTAGACTTCAAACAGAGGAAGATTTTTTTCTTCCTTGTTCTGTTAAACATTTATGAGAGATACACATTCATGTATAGGCACACACCATTTGTTACAAATTGTACTTGATAGGCGTAAGTCATTTTGACAGAAATCTACTTACTGTTATATCACTATAGAAGGAATCACAAGTTTAACTTTATTTTACAAGGCAAATTAATTACTTGCATCATAATTTGTAATAGAATTTGCTCTTAAGATGGTGTTTGATAGAAAGTATCCACAATCTCCTGAAAGAGCTTGAAGGAGGAATTTTTATCCTGGTAAATGGTGTTAAGTCCTTTCCCTTTAAATATGCTATGAATATTAATATTTAAAAATAATGCTGGAATCTGATTGCATTACAAATCTAGGGAGCAATCAAGTGAAGAAAATATATTCTTTATAGTTATATCTGCTCTTGCATTTAATTACATGCTAACTGAACATTAATAGATTTAAATGCTATTTGCAGGGTTGGCTGAAATGTTCTGCAGTCCACCAAATGGAAAACAGAAAAGTTTTGTACCAGAAACTCAGATATCAGAAATAAATGCATCAGAAGAATTTGGTATGTTTTATTGTGTATACATTTTAAATAATGACTTTCATACAGCCATTTAGCATAGATTACTTTTATCATTCATCCCAAAGATAAGTACTACAAATCAATGAGGTTTGGTTTTTAGAATGGAAGGAAACCTCTTCTGCATCAATACCTCTCTTTGAAACTGCTAAGGCTATGTGGAGCTCTTCCCTTATTGTAGAAATTTCAGGTCACTCTTTCCTTGCAGTACCCATCATAATTTCAGGTGTTGCTTTAACGACTGTGCTGCTTTAAGTAAGAAGAGAATCCACTTAGAGATACAAGCCAGATGATCAAAGGCAGAGAATAATGGTGTTTTATTAAGTCACTGAGCTACATCAAGTTGTAAATACTGAATAAAATATATAGTCTTATCCAAATAAAGTTTTATGATGATGTGATAATGAAAACAGGATATGTCATTTCTTGTGTTACCCTGTAAGATGTTTTAGGGGAAAATTAATTAGCCAGCTGAGATAATTAGATTCATTCAAAGTGCAACAATTTTAATGGCTTCAAATTTAGGTCTCGGGTTGGAGAAATACATAAAACTGTTTCTGTATTTGATTTCTCAATTTATATTAGTGGAATAAACATACTCTCCTTCTGATTGGTAGAAGGTTTCCTAGATGGTTGTAGATTTTGGTCCTTCTGCTACTTAGAAGTTGCCATGTTTCAGATACTAGTTTGCTTATCGTACAATCCCAATTACAATATGTAATTTCCATTATGAGAAGTTCCACAATTTCCATTATGAGTAACAGTTACTTTAATTTGACTTAATTCATTTTTAATATTCTTGGTGTAATTTGCTTTTTATGTTTTTTGTTTCATTCTAAAACAAAGTCTAATACATAATTATTATAAATAATATTTCTTCACATTTAAGTGCATTTCCATCAGTGAAGTTTCATTACTGTATCATTTTTCTATTTTTATTAGAAAAAAAGTCTGTTTTGGATGTTAATATTTCAAGCCCAAAAAGATCTTACAATCAAGATGTAATATTGGAAGAAGTATCACAAATACCCATTCATGATAATTTAATGGTATCACGAAATGAAAGAAATATAATGGGAATGGAAGAAGAAAACCTGCAACAAGAATCAGAGCCAGTCAAACAGCTTTTGGAAATCAAGAAGCTTTTGAAGACACCAAAGCAAAAGTCAGAGCCAGTTGAAGCGCTTTCAGCAGTCAAGAGGCTCTTGAGAACACCTAAGGAAAAATCTGAATCTGTTGAGGTGCTTTCAGGGGTCAAGAGGCTTTTGAGGACACCAAAGCAAAAGTCAGAGCCAGTCGAAGCGCTTTCAGCAGTCAAGAGGTTCATGAAGACACCTAAGCAAAAGTCAGAGCCAATTGAGTCGCTTTCAGGAGTCAACAGACTGTTGAGGACACCTAAGGAAAAATCTGAATCTGATGAGATGCTTTCAGGGGTCAAGAGGCTTTTGAGGACACCAAAGCAAAAGTCAGAGCTAGTCGAGGCACTTTCAGAAGTCGAGAGGCCCTTGAAGACACCTAAGCAAAAGTCAGAGCCAATTGAAGCGCTTTCAGGAGTCAAGAGGCTTTTGAGGACACCAAAGCAAAAGTCAGAGCCAATTGAGGCGCTTTCAGGAGTCAAGGGACTTTTGAGGACACCAAAGCAAAAGTCAGAGCCAGTCGAGGCACTTTCAGCAGTCAAGAGGCCCTTGAAGACACCTAAGCAAAAGTCAGAGCCAATTGAGGCGCTTTCAGGAGTCAAGAGGCTTTTGAGGACACCAAAGCAAAAGTCAGAGCCAGTTGAGGGGCTTTCAGGGATTAAGAGGCTCTTTAAATCACCTAAGAAAAAATTTGAATCTGTTGAGGACTTTTCAGGCGTCAAGAGGCTCTTTAAGATACCTAAGGAAAAATATGAACCTGTTGAGGACCTTTCAGGGATCAAGAGGCTCTTAGAGACACCTGAGCAAAAATCAGAACCTGTGGCAGTGTTTTCAGGAATCAAGACATTGAAAACACCCAGACAGACTATGGAGCCTCTTGCTGATGATACTAGGTTATCTACTGAAGAACTATTAAAAGACATGATTGGAAGTGTTACCAAAAATAAAACACAAATTATGGAAGATATAGATATTAATGGCATTACTGAGGAAGTTAAGGAAACTGTGAAGCCAATAGAAGATAGCGGAAATATTCAAATGACGTCACCAAAGGAAAGATTTGAACCCATAAATAATATGGTTGGCAGCAGTCAGACATTGAAAGCATCAAAATCTTTGCCAATTGATGACTACTTGGGATTGCAGAAATTTATGATTGAACCTAGAGAGAGTTCTATAATTCCTGATATAGATAATACAGGTGTCAAAGAGATGTTGGACACTGAAAATGATAAGGTATTATCATTTATTCATTTGTATTTATTATATCAAATATTTGTACTCATTTTTATTTAGGTAGCCCATAATTTAGTAACTAAAAAAATTCACGTAATCCATTTTTATTCCATAATAACATTTGGAAATATTGGGATTAATTATTTTGATCCCAGAAAACTCAAATAGCAATTCGATAGTTACTTTGGTCTTTGGATTTAGGGCTAAACAGTGTGATCTTGTAGTAAGTAGCTACTAATTTTAGACTAAAATTACAATATTTTGGATTCTTAATTATAGCTGTTAATATTGCAAAACACAGATTTTTAAAAAATGTTCCTCTGCATCTTGCTGTCACTGCCAGCAGTAATACTTCATATTTGAACATATAGTCCATCGTGTTATTATCATACCAACTATAAGGGCAATACGAAAAAAACACCCAATGCTGATGCCCTGCTGGTGGAGGAGCTAAATAGCTTCTTAACCCACTTTAACGTCAAAAGACCTGTCTCTGTGGCTCTAGCCCAAAGGCCCTCTAACCTCCAGCCACTCACCCTGGATGAACATCAAGTGAGAGCTGTGCTGAAGGCTGTAAATCCCAACAAAGCTGCGGGTCCAAACGGGGTGCTGTGGAAAGTGGTAAAAACCTGTGCTGACCAATTAACGGGTCCTGACAAGGATTTTTAACATCTTCCTGCAACAGGCTAGAGTCCCATCATGCTTGAAAGCAGCCACAATTACCGTATTTTTCAGAGTATAAGACTCAATCTTTCCCCCTCTAAAAGAGGCTGAAAATTTGGGTGGGTCTTATATTCCGAATGTAGCTTCTTCAAAGCTTTTTTTCAGTCCTAACGAGATGCTAACGAGGCACTAGCAAGTGATCTTTCCAGTTTTGCCTGCCTCGACTCTCCATTGTGCTTTAACGAGGCGCTAGCAAGTGAAGCGATCTCCATGTTTTGCTCCGACTCTCAGCTGTTTTTTAGAAGCTTTTTTTCCGCCCTAACTAGGTGTTAGCCGATTGAAGCGATCTCCCCTGTGCTTTGCCTGTTTTTCTCATTGCTACTTCCTCTCAGCTGTGCTTTAGAAGCTGTTTTTTTATCCCCAAGCAGGGGATAAAAAACCAAACTAATGTGCTGAAGCTGACCAGACTAAGGACGCTAGCCAGATGAATACCTGGTAGGCAGATTTCTTTTTTCTTATTTTCCTCCCAAAAACTAAGCTGTGTCTTATACTCCGAAAAATACGGTATCCCAGGTCCAAAGAAACCAGCCATAAACAGCCTGAATGACCATAGACCCATTGCACTGTCTATAGTGATGAAGTGCTTTGAGAGATTGGTCCTACAACACCTCAGGTCCTGTCTTCCACCAAATTTCGATCAACACCAGTTTGCTTATAGAAGCAACAGGTCGACAGGGGATGCCATTGCCACTGCTCTACATATTGCACTGAGCCACCTTGAGAAATCTGGGAATTATGTCAGAATGCTTTTTATAGACTATAGCTCGGCCTTTAATACCATCTTACCAGGCATTCTTATTGAAAATCTGACTGACCTGAATTTCCCTCCCTTCACTTGTGACTGGATCAAAGACTTCCTGGCGGATTGTCCACAAACAGTGAGGGTTGGTTCTTTACGTCTTCCACCCTGAAGCTCAGCACCGGCTCCCCTCAGGGCTGTGTGCTCAGCCCCTACCTGTACTCGCTGTGTACACATGACTGCATACCCTCTGATCTATCCAACATCATAATAAAGTTTGCAGACAACACAATGGTGCTGGGTCTCATAACTGGAGGGGACGAATCAGCATACAGGGAAGAAGTCCAGAAGGTGCTCAAAAAAGGTGCATGGTGCTCAAAAAACAGCTTACATCTAAATACTAGTAAAAGAAAGATGTGCTAGATTTCTGGAAGCACAGAGAGGAACCTGCCCCACTGTATATCGAGGGGGGCTGTGTGGAGAGGGTTTCCTCTTTTAAAATCTTGGTAGCGTTTATTAGTCAAGATCTCACCTGGAAAAACAACACGTCCCTGGTGATTGGCAAGGGCCAACACGGTCAACGATAGAAAATGTCCTCATCCTCCATTACAGTATGGTACGCTGGTTTAACTTGCGAACAGGACGGCACTACAGAGAGTGATCAATTCAGTACAAGAAACCATTGGTTGCCCTCTAACACCACTAGATGACATCGCCAGGTCTCGCTACTTTAGCAGACTAAGAAAGATACTCGGAGATGATTCACACCCTGGTCAGTGTCTCTTCGCACTTCTACCATTGGGCAGAATACATTAAAGCATAGCCAGCCGAACAAATAGATTTAAAAATAGTTTCTATCCTAGCTGTCAGACTCTTAAACACAACCACAATCACTCCACGCACACGCGGAAACATATGACTAGTTTTTCTTTTGTTCCCCTAATTACTTGCATAGGGATTATTCTTTATACTATTTATGTTGTTTGTATTTTTTGTCATGGATTACACCAGTGAGGCTAAAACCAATTTCGTTGTATACATGATGTACAATGACAATAAAGGCTATACTGTAGATTATATTTTTACTATACATAATATAAATTTCTGTAGCACCCAATCTCTGTTAATATAAAACAGGATTATGTAAAACATTTCCTTGAGAAGCATAGCTTCTTAAAATGCTGTGCTTTGCGTATGTATGCATGCATGTTGTAAGTACAGTTACTTTGATTTGCTGGCAGTTATAGCACAAGTATAGTCTGCATGCACTCAAAGAAATTTGGAATGTTCAGCTGTAAGTCCAGCCTTACAAAATACACAGCTGTATCATTCAAGGAAGGGTACTGGAATGTTTTTATGTGAGAAATATTTTGATGTCAGCTATTTTAATAATTTGTAATATTTATAGGCTAAAATGCCAGAATCTCTGAATTTTGTGGAAGAAAATGGATCTTATATCAGTTCCAGAAATAAACTGGGTAAGTATAAAGTTTATTTCATTAAAAAATGCTTTGTATATTCTTTTGAAAGTGTACTATAATATAGGTGAATGAAGATGTGGTTTTGATTTATTTCTGCAGAAAAAAAATGTTAAAATTTTGACATTTTAATTTTGATACAAATTGTTTCATTGCAGTGAATATTAATGAGAACTGCTCTGTAAATTTAAAATTAGTACAAATTATAGCATATAAATATTAGAACAGTATTCTAAAAAGTTTTTATATCATTACTGAATTACTTACATAAATGTTTCTCCAAAGTAAAAAAGTTACCCAGAACATCAGTTTAAAACTTCATTTTTCTTAATGATTGTGAACTTAAACATATATTTGAACATGTTTTATTTCAGAGTCCATGGAAAATGTGCCTGGAAGTTGTGAAGCAAACCTGGAAATTAAAATTGAAAAAGAATCTCATTTTCCAGTAACAGAAAATAACAGTAGTGTTCCAAACCATATAGGCCATGTTGCATGTAATTCATTTAATGAATTGAAAACAGAGTTCAAAAAAACAACCAGAAGAACCTCTCTCTCTGAAAACTATGAGCCAGATGGAATGATTTCCAAAAATGAAGCCAAAATTGATTTTGTAAAGGAAGCAGCTGAAAATTCTGATGCATTAAAAACAGAAAAACCTGAACCACTTGCTTTGGCTAGAACTAGAAGGAAAATAAATAACTGTAGTTCCGCAGTATATACAAAGATGATTCAGAGGCCTACAAAGAATAGATCAACATCAGCTAATTGTGAGCAAGTCAGTGAAAGTTTTGACAGCCACAAAGAACTAAATCCATTGCACAAATCTGAAAGCAATTTTGCAACAATTGAAACAACCAAATTATCTCAGAGAGGAAGACCAAAGAAGCAGCATGTTGAAACAAATGGGAATATAGGATCTGACAACATAAACCATACTCAGGTATTAGAAAAATCTTTAAAGGAAGAAACAGTGGAAAAACAGTCTGTAAACAGGAGAAAAGTGGCAACTAAAAGAAAAGGAAAAACTGTTAGAAGTATGGATTTGGAAGAAAATGGACCAATTCAAGAACATGAAAGTGATATAACTGTCAAAACAATGCTACGGTCTAGAAATGTAAAAAAGTGTGCGAGTGACGTAAAGACAACATTTGCCAAAGGTAAAGCAAATGACATAATATCAGGGGAAGAAAGTAATAAAAGAAGAAAGTTTGCTGCAATACAATCAAGCCCAGAAACATTAATCACAACTTTGAATGCAGATAAGAAAGGAAGGCAAAAATGTACAGTATCTAAAATACGTAAAACCGAAGCTTCAGCAAATAATCTAACAGCAATGGAAGAAAATTTAGTGGGGAAGAAAAAAAAAGTTCAATTTTTACTTAAAGATTATTTTAAGGCTTCTGAAAAAAAATGTGCACTTGGATATGAGAGTAATATTCATAAAGAAGAAGAAAGTCAAACTGAACACATTTGTAATGGGATTCCAAAGGTTCCCTTGGAAAGCATGCAAACTCCTGCAGAGGCCAGTATGCCCAGAATGGAAAAACTATCAAAAAAGAATCTGCCTAGCAGAGGTAGAGGCAAAAAATCAGTTTCCAGCCCTTGTGTAGAAAGTGAAAGCAATCAGGCCTCTGATGGGAAAGATCATGATGTGATTGTCAGTCTAAAAGAAAATCAGCCCAGAAGGGGCAGAGGAAGGAAGAAAGATCAAGTGCTCCTCAAATATATTCCTTTAGAAAATAATACTTCTGGAGATTCAACAGCGAACGTATGCCCTTCATCCCAAGGCGGATGTTCTTTGCCACAAGTTCAAAATGAAAATTTTGAAGAATCTGAAATGTTGCCATTAGAAAATGTACAAAATCATGAAGGGCACATGCCGCCAAAAAGGGTAGTAAAAGAAAATCCACCCAGGAGAGGAAGAAGCAAGCAAGTCAATGAGCCATCCGGTAATAAAGGAGCTGATGTCCAAGGTCCAAATATGGCCATCAGACAAGAGGATAATCAGTCCAAAAGGACAAGGGGGAAGAGAAATACTCAAGAATTCTGTTCACTGAAGAGCCAAAAGACAGTGAAAGAGAATCCACCCAGGCGAGGCAGACATAAAAAAACTATTTCTGGAGATGTATCTACAGATTCTGACAATACACACATAACCCCTATAATAGATGAAAATATAGATGGCAAAAATGCTTGTCTTGCAAAGGAGGATCAGTCAAAAGTAGGCAGAAAAACAAGAAACACTGTTGTATTTCAGAAAATCCTTTCTCCTGTTTCTTGTCATTTGTTGTCATCAAACAGAGGGGAACATTCAGATGAACAGCCAAATGAAGATTTGAGGACAGCAAATAATGCAAATGAGAATTTCACATACAACTGTAGAAAAAGGAAAGGTGTTCGTGAAATTTCAGCAAACTCAGTTTTTTCCAGTAAAAAATCTGAATTTATTGATAATGACATTCAACAAAATGGCAAGAAAGATTCAAAAGTTGTATCAAAACAAAATACATCCAGAAATAAAAGAAAACTATTAACACTTTGTGGAACGTCAACAGAGAATAATGATGAACTAAGAATTAACAATAAAAAGAGTCCATTAGTAACAGATAATGTTGGTCCTTTAGAAAACAATTTTGGAAAAAAGCATCAATCAAAGAAGCAAAGAGAAGAAACTAATATTGCATCACTAGCTTCTCCCTCCCTGAAAGTAAGCATCACTTTGTCACCATTACCTTCTGCTAATGAAAATCAAAGTGGAAACAGCGAAGATTCTGTTGGAAAAAAGGAATTAGCAAAACTTTCAGGTACATACAATATAACGACACGCTCTCGAAAGTATGTTATTCCAAAAGAAGAGCTTGTTCATGAAACCCAAAACAAAGATTTGCAGAAAACAGCTACGGCAACTGTGATCAATCAAAGAAGAGGTAGAAGAAAAATTAATAAACTTGAGGCTGCTGTTTCTCCTTCCCTCAAAAAAAAATGTACATTATCTGCAGGCAGTGATAATTTTCCTAATGGACAAATTCTAAATAATGTTTCAAATAAAAAAGTTTCCTTAATGGGCAAGGCACCGAAATTTCTTGAATTAAAAACCATGACGCAAAACATCAATCAAAATGATTTGTCTAATTATGACCAAAATAAAAATCTTAAGCACTCAAATATGCTGGTGGAAAAGAATTCATCAGAACGTGCAAAAAGAAAAATTAATTCAAAAACAGTTACCACTTCTAACATCGTGAAAAATATAATTCCAGAAAATAAATCAACAGTACCTAAAACAGGTATGTTATCTTTTATGTCTTAAACTAGTAAGCTTTATTCTTACTCTTTAGAATTGAATAGATAATCCAGTAAAGCACAGGTTTCCTTCTGATCTCCCAAATTCTGTTTGAATAGGATTTTCAGTTATTCTGGAATCTTAATATCAATAGAGCACAACAGTTTAAGAAGGGTGCAGCCTAAAAGGTCCACAAACCAGCACAAATCAATACACAGGTTTTGCATTTTAAAATTCACTCTGGGTCCTCGGTATCAATTCATCAGAAGAATATACACAGAGTAACATTGAGAACTCAAGTCAGTCCAGATCAATATATATTCCACTTTCTTAAAAGAGTTTTTCTTTCTTGATTATGGGCATGCAATTTAGAACGCCAATTTCCCCATAGGTGCAGGAATTTTCAGAAGAATCTGAAGGAGCTCTTTTAATAATGGGTCTTTAGTTACATGTGTGCTGTGTATCTTTTTCAATTGAGTCTATTGACTGTTGAAGGATTTTTTAATTTATTTTTTTGCTCATAGGAATAGACTAAATTGTCCTGCCCAGAAATGTACTGTTCTGTTAACACTCTAAAATAATGTGCTTTGTTAGCCTGAAAACTTGTAGATGTGTTATGATTACACTTTTCAAAATTCTTTGTGCTATATATCATTAATTGATATATCTATCTATCATATATCAAAAAATATATCTAAAAGGCATTAGATTAATTAATGCTATCACAGTTTGAATGAAATAATATAAAATTAATTGCTCAGCGCTTTATTCTATTCTGTACATTTTGGAACTTATATTTATAGGGGCTTTAGAGAAATAATAGTGTGCATTCATCCTTCGTAATTTCTTAAAAATATGCAGAAGATTTTCTTGAATTTTAATTGATTTTAATCCTTTTGAATTATTCCAAAATTCCATTTGTGTATGTGTATTCCAAATAATTTACCTACTCTAGAAAGAATTCTTGTAAATATTGGTATCATATTTGTTTTGTTTTTCCATATATACAGTGCAAACAAGAGGTAAAAGGAAAATGAAAGAAGAAAATACCACTCTGATGACTGAGTTGCCTAAAGAAACCGAAGGCAGGACGAGAGCAAGCAAAAGAATAAGAAAATAGATTACAATATTTGCTCTGAGTTAATTTTTTAATCTGAAAAATTACGACCTTAAAACTTTGAAATTGAAATGCTTCAACATTCGCTTCAGCTTAACCGTTGACATTGATAATATCTGATGCAAATATTTTGTAAATAGCTTTTCAAATTATTTTTAAGATTTTTGTTTAAAATATTAAAGGATTAGGAATTTAAATTTTAACTGTTTTTATTTGCATTGTCTAGAATTTTTAAAATGCTAATGTTACTGTACTTATGTGTTTCAAAATTAAAAACATACTTAAGCAGTATTGTTTTATATGATGATCCAATTGATGCTAAGTATTTGCTTCCACACTGCAGTAACTGATGATTACCAGGGTGAAAAACTAGCTATTCAGAACATAGAAATCTGAATTTGTACAAGGCCAGTGTTTTCTTTGTTTAACATTATCCCTAGAGTCTTGCTGCTTTGTACAAGGCAAGCCTGGAAGATGTTTGATTAGCAGTTGGAAGCATGATCCATAATCCTATTGAAGGGTATGTACCCAACTAGAAAAAACATGGTTTGGAAGTTTGAATAAACTGCTGGACATGTTATCATACTGTCAAAGCAAAATGCAATTAAGTTAGATAGTCCCAAGTTTTTGCCAACCCAGATCCTTGGGAATCCAGGGGCTTCCCAGGACCTTACTGCCCCATAGCCTTTAAATTCAAGTATAGTGTGCTTATCCATCTACCCTACCTTTTTATTGTGCACAAGCTTTTTTGAAAGAAAAGATTATAGAAATTTCAGCAGTTGGATTGCCTTCGCTTGGGACTCTTCCCAACGTTTTTAGTTTTACTAAGGGCTCCTGAAGTGGTAAAAGATAGTTCTCTTAAGAAATACTCACTAATTTGAAAATATTACAGGCTCTGAACATACTGTTACATCATGAGTATTGGTACTGCCTGATGGTGCCTGAATTCTGCTTAGAATATTCCAGAAACCACTTGTACATTCCTAACCTTATTTTTGCATATCCAGAATCTCTAGTTCATTCCATTCCTTACCTCTTTAATTACACTTTTTAAATATCTTTTTTTCCAATTAATATAAAATGGCTAGTGAGAAAGTGATATTTGAAAATTTTAATATTCAAATTTTGTATATGTGATTGGTGGATTTGTTCTTATTTTCATTTTTCATTTTATCTACCTCTTTTTAATCTGACATTTAAATTCTACATATCACATTGAATTGACTTCTCACCTACCAAACATCTTTAGGAAGCACTTGGCAATTGTAAACTCGCAATCTAACATTTTTACCCATCAGCAACTTTACTTGCTAAGATGTTCATCCATAAATTCAGGAGGCTATTACCTGTGTGTCTTTTAAAAGTACTATATTGCCATTAATTTCTGATGAAATAATTACTTGTAGATTAAACCAGTAACCGTAGTTCCATGTGAGGCTTCTACACAATTTATAATCAGGAACTATATAATTTTTTGGTTTATTTAATTTTCTTTGAAATACAAGCTGTTTCTGAGTATGGACTAATAAAATTATTAAATTAAACACTGCATTATTAAGTGTAGGATATTTATTCTAATGAAGATGACTTGTGTAACTTAATGCTGACTTCTAAAAGAGAGAATTGGAAAAAATAAACCGTCCCATGCATGCTTTCTTAACAATACTGTGCCATTTGGTACACTTGATCTAAACTGACAGCTTCCGTTTTCTTTACATGCTTGTGCAGAATAACTAATTGTTTTATATGCCTTTGTGCTAGGTCAAATAATCTTTCAAAAGTCATTTTTGTGATTTCAGATCCTCATAGATCAGCCTGATATTGTCAAGGATTTAGTAGGCCAGAACTACAGTCTATCTGAGTAATTTTAAGATAGGAATTCTTCAAGGCTTTATATGAAATCTCAGTGTTCTTCAAGACTTTCTGTAATTCTTTTTCCCCCTTAAGTGTCATTTCATTAAACATAACTTAAGAAAAGATATTTGGCTGCATTACCTATGCATATAAATATCAAAACTGTTTAAAACTTCCGAGAATCAGTAGCATTACTGGACATCTGCAGTTTATTAATCTCTTGTTATTCCCATTCATTTTTGTACCCCATTCCTATTTCCATGTGTTCTTGTACATTATTGATAAAAGGAAGCCCCAGGCTAAGAATTCTTGTTGATTTAACTATTTCCACTTAATAGTCATACACATACAGGTAGTCCTTGACATGACCAAAATGAGGCTCAAAATTTCTGCTGATAAACAAGACAGTTTATCTCAATCTATTTTTAAAAAGTTAAATCAGGACAACTGGACCAAATTATTAATCTGAAACGTTTTGCTTCCCATCCAAGAAGCTTTATTGGTCAAAATAGAAAAAAATAGGTGGGAGTTGTTGGAATGATACAATTCTTGCCTCACCAATTGCAGGGGTTTCTCCCCAAATATTTTTCCTATTTTGACTGATGAAGCTTGCTGGATAGGAAGCAAAGTGTTTCAGATTAATATATGTCTCAATAGAGATAGTGATCCTGCCTTCTGGAAGCAGCCAGTGAACTGGAATTAGCCTGCAAAGAAAGTAAAGTGCTCTGGCCCACATGGAGAAGATCACTTGAAAAGACTATTTTAAAATTGCAACAGGAAAACAGCTGGTGATCGAAGTGGCAATTCAAAAGAGATAAGAGCTGGGCTTGTCTGAGGAGTCAAAAAACTGACTGTTCTTCCCAGATTTTATTTGGAAAGAAGAAACCAATCTTATAATAATATCTAACTAGTTGTCTTTCTATCAGATAAAACTATTTCGTCACTAGCAGATAAAATTGTCTCTCGAGAGGGTACAGATGAACCAGAAACCCAGTTTTATAGGGAGTCAAGAAAAGTCAAGATGGCTGAATGAATGAACCAGTATGCCTTTATTGTCTTGGTTATGTGATTGTGCCACTCTTGTGACATTTTTGACCAACTGGTATATCAGGTGCTCTTATCTGTTCTTCATATTTATTTACTTTTTTTAAAAAAAAATCAAGGCACAACATCAGCACTAGGCCTGGAGTCAATCATACACTGTCCAGTTGTTGCCTTGTTGATCATCGTGCCCCACCTGACCTAAAATGTTGAAAAGGTGTTCAATTTGAAGAATGTTTATTTAAAAAACAACACTGCAAGGGACATGGCAGTTTTCAAATTATTTCTAATAATGCCTTTTGAACTTATACTTCATAAGAATTCTTCAATAATAAAAAATGGCGAATTGTAGTATCCTAAGAGTTTTGCTGAGAAGTATATTCCAAAGGAAAATGGAGGCAGGGAGCATTCTGGGATACTGTATAATAGGTAAGTCATATTGTCATCTGTTTGTCTTCTCATAAGATGGCAAGCCCTATCAAAAACTTGGAAACTTGGAAAATGCCTAATTTGACTCCGCTGGCATGTTAACACACTCCAAAACAATAGAAATAATTTTCTAATCTCTTTCCTCCCCCCCCAAACCACCCTAATCTGCAGCATTTGGTGACAGGTCTGGGCCTCAACCTAAGGCCTAGCACCATTGGTGGCATCAAAAATGCCACCTCACGCTGTTCAAGAGGTGCAAGCCTTTTTGGGGAACAGTGTGATTGCCCAGCACTCCCCAGAAAATTGCATGAGAACAGTGTACTTTCAAGAGTAACTGGATGTTGGTGAACACTGGCATATCACCTTTGACACGTGTCATAGGTTTGCCATCACTGGCAAATTGGCATTTGCCAGTCAGTATTGGGAGATAGAAGTATGAGGCAATCCATTTTAAATTTTCTGGTCAACCAACCTCTTTTTGTTCTTAAAATTGTGCTGTTCATGTTAATGATATTCATGTTACAATACACTATGGATGTGACTCTTTAATTTACATTGAAAAACAATTTGGTCTGCCTATTTTGCAAGTGCATTAATACCAGTGTAGAGGAAGGTGTTCTCTGAAACAATTTCCAGTCCTAAAATAGCACTCTAAAGCAATGTTTCTCAACCTTGCAGGTTTAAAATGTCTGGATTTCAACTCCCAGAATTCCCCAGCCAGTATTCTCTAAAGAAACTATCAAGTCATTTTTTTTTAGTACATTAGTGTTTTGTTTTGTTTTTTGCCTAACCATAGTAGTCATTAGTATAATAATAAAAGGTGAAGTCTGATTAAAAGCTGTTGCTCCTAGAGATATTTTTCTGGGTTTGATGGTAACTTATGTTGGTATCTTAATATATAGGTGTAATGTAGGTTTTATTTTGGATTTTTTATGTATCACTCCACGCAGAGGGTTTGGAGCAGTGCAATTATTTAATTGAATTACTTCCGGGTACTGCAGCTCTCTGTTCTTTCAGTCTCAATATACGGTATTTGAAAGCTTCCTGTAAACTGATGCTACCCACAGTAAACCTTCTATAATTTTAACACTGTTTTGCATGGACAAGGTAAAAGCAGAAAGACAGAAAAAGCTGCTGATTGTCCCATTTAGATAATTTCCCCTTTATTTGTGTTAATAGGGAAGTATTAAAAGACAAGGTATTTTATTAAAGCAAAACAGATTTTTAAATAAGGTTTAGAATTAACTATTGTTTCTTCTGCATAATATGTAATGCTACATGAGTGTTATTTTTTCATGTCTATTTAAAATCCTTAATTCTTGGACTCAGGTAAAAGGCATGCAAAAAGCAGAGGATAAAATAGACAACACTGATCATATTAGTAAACAGGTTTAATGCCTTTTTCATATTCAACATTGGTTTGCTACTGATTATTGTATTTTCTCTGCTTTATGCTGAGGGTTACAGCTTTTTTTTTTTTTTTTTTTTTTTTTTGGATGACACAAGCAACTGAAAAAGCTGTTAAGCCATATTCACAGCCCAGGTGTGTTGCTAACTCAACCAAAATTATTAAGCTAAATGCAGTTTTTAAACAATGATTAAGTGAATCAGATGCAAATTAAACAAAATTAACCTATAAATATATGTGTTTTTCAAATTAGTAATTGGATTTTTTGATGATCTTTGGCTTGACATTGATAAGCTGCTTCTCATAACAGTCTAATTAGACAATATGTAAACTTTGGCATTCGGTTCTGTCCTAGTGGCTTTTTCAAATGATGTTTGTAAAATTTGCAATTTCATATTACAGATTAAAAATTAAAAACTGCAGGAGGCTAACATTAAAATGAGAATTCATTTCAGGGAAAGCCCTGTAGACAAAATTCACCCTAATAGAATTGTGCATAAGGGGCTGCAAATCATGATCTATTGTTACACAGGGGAAGGCTTGTCAAAACCAGTATTGTTGGCCTGTAGTTCTATTCACTGTATTAAACCCATCCGTGAAGTCACTTTGGGGAAAATGTGAACATTATCAAAGAACAGTAAATTAGCAAGAAATTAAAGCATATACCCTTGCATTTCCAAAACAAAAGATCCCTTCATTAAAACCTTTCATCAGTGGTTTAATATTCATAGCAGTAATTTGCATAACTAAATCAGTTTTCACTGATGAGAGACTACCAAAGTTTTTTTCCTCACTAATTTCTTTTTTGAATGAGCTAGCTAGGGTTTATTATTAAAATTTTAAACCAGTCATTGAACAAAACAGATACATAGGTTGTGTGGATTTTTAAGTTATAATTATTGGGAGAAAATATAGTTCACATGTTTCAAATATGAAAACAAAATAATCTTATTTGAACAGTATATTTTTTCCCTATCATGTAGGAAACTTAATGAATAGGCTGGCAACAGTTCAACTCTTCACTTCTATTTTTACCAGTATATAGAGAAGATACAACTGTAGACTTTTATAACATGGTAATTATAATGGTCAAAAAGTTTAAATTTTTTATCATTTCCCAAGTTCATTGTTCTATTCTTAAAACAGTGTCCCCCTTGTGAAAAAGAGAGAAGGTATCGTAGCTTTTAAAAAGCTTTCATTTTAAACCTACCATAATTTTTAAGGTAAAAAATAATTGCATATTCTTTTGGAAGAAGAGCAGTTGTAACCATCTATTACATATATTTGTATATAAATAGTAAAAGCATGTAGAGTACACGCAAAAAGCATTTCAAAGCCAAATCAACAGCAAAATACACAGGAATTAAATTCATACATAATAGGAAGCATTTCAGGAAGCATCCATTTCTGGAAGGGTATTTTCAGCAACATCTGGAGTGATTGATCTTTTGGACACATTTTGCTCATATTGCCTTGCACTATCCGTGCAGACATATTTTGTTTATTGCTAAAGAAGATTTCTTTTGTAGTTTTATTGTACATTATCTGAGTATGTCGTACTTATATGCTCTAAGCCATGAATATGTTGGGAGAAAATTTTCTTCATTGATAAACTGATGAACTGACTTTTAAAATTAATGAATGTTTTACATACTAAAAAAAGAACTAAATTTTGTAAACAGAAATCAAATGTAACATGAATTAATAACTGATAAGACATTTTCCTACTTTCCCTTTCAAAGTTATTTAATTTTAAGTGGATAAATATATTTTATTATTTTGTTTAATGTTTAAAATTTGGTAATAATGTGATAGTCAA